CAATATGATTTCTACCATTCGCAAGATTCATGTGAACTCGATGCAATAAACTCCACATTGACGTTAATTTTAGCACATTCATTCTTTATGCATTTAATCAAGTGTCTTGCATCTGTGATATTCATTGAGTATATCTTCTTTAGCATGCCCCAGAAAAAGAAGTCAATTCTTTCTTCTGCCGACAAAACCACGTTTTAATCTGTGGAGGTAATAATTTCCATCATTTGTGATGCAAGGCTTGATGCGCTTTGCAAGATTCGTGTGAACTCTATGCAATAACTCCACATTGCCATTAATTGTAGCACATTCACTCTATGCATTCAAACAAGTGTGTTGCATCTGTGATTTTCATTGACTACATCTCCTTTAGCATGCCACAAAAAACGAAGTTAATTCCTTTATTCTTTTGACAAAACCATTTTTAATATGTGGAGGTAAAAAATATATATTTAATCGATTTTTTATGTGTCTAGATTTTAGAGACACCCTGTATATTTGCAGTATTTGCAAAAAATTAACAGTTTTTCTACTTAGATTTTCTGTTGAATCATAATTAGTCTGTTAATAACTGAATAAGCTATTTGCAAGATCCATGACTATAAAATACCTGTAGAAATTTCCATATGGCGTCGTTATGCATTTGAGCTTATCAACTTTAACAAAATATTGCAATAACAATTATAAGTATGAATCTCGCTGATTATTTAAAGAGGTAAAAGTGTAAAAATGAAGAGATTCAAAATTGACGAGTTTTTCTATTTCACTGAATCATACTTTAAAAGCATCACCTCTCTTTATCACTTAGCTGAAACAGTGTCTTGAATATATCTTTTCTTTCATCTTTCCTTGCAATCAAAGTGGAATGGTTCATTATTTATCTGGGGTAATGGCAAAGCATGAAATAAGTAGGCATTCACCTTTAACAGAAGTTAATCGCTGCACTCTAGAATGAGGTTAGCTGAAAGTAAACAAAAAGTTTAGGGATTTATTCTTTCTGCTGTCTACACCAAGAATTTGTGGGCAAAAACCAATCAAGATATTCAGGGCTCAATATATTAATGCTCGTGATAATTTACTAACTAATGAAGGACCAACAGAATTCTAATATAAAGCTACTGAGAATATTCAAAAATATCTAAACTGTATACAAATGCTTTCTTAGTTCAAAGGTTTAAAATGGTTATGAGTGAAGTGTAGGTGTTAACAAGGAACATCTTTCTTCGAACCTTCTGAGCCTGAACTACTGAATCATAAAGAACTGCATCAAATGACAGAAACCTGATCACTTGTGGACTATCAACAGCTGTAACAACTAAAATGGATAGCACATGTAACTCGAAGAGAAGATAATGACAATCAAGATGTTGATATTCCACTCTATTGCAAACAAAAGGTAAGGACGGAAACCCCATCAATACTGGAAAAAGCAACAAGATTTACTAGACTTCAGAAACATGTTTTCATGAAAACCTCTTTTAATAGAAATATTTTATAAATTTTAGTCAAATATAGCCCCAGCAGCTCGGACAATTAATGCCAATGTTTCCTTATAAGGAAATGGATAATATAAGCGTGTCATTTGTTTTTTTATATAGATGTCTTTTAATGTAGGTTTAATGATCACTTTCACATGTTTTGCCACTCGAAATGAAACCTAACATCATATGCCATTCAGTACTTACTTGTTGCCATGATACTTGAGAATTTCTTGACAAAAATTGATTTTTTTATAACCTCTCTCGCTATGGAACACAAGTCAATGAGATTAACTTCTAAGATTATTTGAGTTTTCAGGTTAATTTATTGTTACAAAACCAAGACATTAACCAGGATTATAAGATGAATTATTGAGAATATATATAAATTCACATTTTCTACAGACGAAACGCCAGTCCAATTAGAGACCATTCTATATATAATTATCTTATTTTTCTATGGGATTGAGCGGATGAGGTATGATGACCTCCAAAAATGACCATGCAAAAGTTTTTAACCTCCTCATATCAGCCAAAACATATTCAGCGATTTAAAACAGAATAATGTCAGTAATTATAATTTATTACATTCTTTATATTGATCGACTGATTTTTTTTTTTTTTTGGCTTATCAAACTTTTGCAGATTATTTAAAACCAGAAAATATAGGGTGTTTCATTAAGATGGATCAAAGTCAGCAGTAAATAAATCAGTGTTATTGGTGACATTTTTTTTATGTTTAAACATTCTTTTATAGAATTTTAAAAATTGTCGGACTTTGTCCATTTCATAATGTGCGACGTCATTTGTTTACATTTGGATACGCTTTGAGCAGATATGAATGTACATGATAGATTCATGGAAGATTGAAGTTTAAAGGCAGTAAATTCGATTTTGCTAACTGAATGCTCCTCTGTGGCCAAATCGGTTAAAGGCACGTCAGGCTATATGACGTTTCTGTATAGGATACAGGTTCGATTCCTGTTGGTGGATGAATATTTTCTATGAAAAGTTCTCGGACATTCAGGCCGATAAATGTTGTTTAATACTGTTTATTATAAACAGAGCATTTACTTAAATATTTGTATCTATAAAAAAGAATGTATAAACATAAAAATGTCTTAAAATAAGACAGAATTCTAAAAGATTTAAAACTTTATAATTATTCTAATTAAAGAGCAGATTTTTGATAATGGAGTCCTGCTTTACAAAAAAAAAAAAAATTGATGATTTAAATTCTCCAAGGAGTCCTGCATATAACTAACATAAACAAAACAGATATAAAAGAAAAGTCTTTACCAGGATTTTCTAAATAAAAAAGATAATAATTCTAAAATAATTTCATTCATTTGTGAATAAGTTCTGAAAGTTTCATTAAAATTTGAAATTATTTGATTTTTTCAAGAATTTTCAAAATTTTTGCAAAGCCATTTTTGGGACTTGTGACTCTCTCATTCAGAATCTCTGCTACAAAAAATATGATAATTCAGTATCAAAATGACACCAATAGAGCCAATGTCTAATCCGTAGAAAATGTGATGCGAAACATCCACTTATAAGCTGGTGACTAAAATATTTTAAAATGGCTAAAGATTTTGCTGAGTAATGTATATTGAATAAAGCAATGAAGAAATAACAATTTCATTCTAAAAATATTTTTCTTGTTTTATTTTGTTTTTATTGGGGGCCCACAGAAAAACTAAAACCTTTTAAAATGCCAAGTTTGCTGCTAAGTGGTTCATTGTGTCACACTAAAGAATTTCTCTTGCCAGAATATATCTTGCACCTTTCTAAGACTACCATTCATCCATACATTGAATATTGCTGCAACATATGGTCTGTGGATTTTGCTATACCGCTTGACAAAATCCAAAGAAGAATCTGCAATATTATTGGCCTTGACCAGACATCTTTGCTTGAACCACTTTCCCACTTCTGTCATGTAACTTCACTGCCCTTTTTCTATCAATATTTTCATGGCAATATGTCGGCCGAACTTTCTCCCAAGGGATATAGACTCTATGAATTATGAAGTACAATACTAGATTGGCAGTAAGGTCCCATTGTTTTACATTTGAAATTGCTAAGTGTAACCATAAGTTCTATTTTAATAGTTTCTTCACTCACACTTCTCAACTGTAGAACTCTCTTCCAGCTTCTTGATTTCCTTTTTTTTAAATTTAAATACATCGTCATCTGTCTCCTTAAATCCTGATTTTTTTATTTTAGCAGTTTTCCTTCACTGGCATCATTAGTGGCTTTATTGCCTTGCTTGGTGTTAAATGATTGTTAAAAAAAAAAAAAAAGAAAAGTTTAATGTTGACAATGAACCTGAAAATTATTTGTTAAATTGAAAATATATGATATTTAAAATATATATATATGAAGAAAAATACAGAAAAAAAACAAACAAAAATCTTAATATGCAATTATGCTGTATTAATGTTAATATAAAGTCGACGTCGGACGTTTCGGTCTATTTAAGACCATCTTCATGGACATTTTCATTTAAACATAATTAACATTAGAACATATAAAAATTTAACACAAAAGACGATGGACATAAGAGCCCAACTAATCCAAACAGATAACTGAAATTTTTATATAAGATCAGCGTTCCGCTTAAATATGATCACGTAGAAATTTTTATATTTTCTAATGTTAAATGATGTTTAATGAAAATGTCCATGAAGATGGTTTTAAATAGACCGAAACGTCCGACATCGACTTTTTATATTAACATTAATACAGCATAATTGCATATTCAGATTTTTGTTTGTTTTTTTCTGTATTTTTCTTCATACTGTCGGATTTATATCCATATATTTGCTTATATATATATATATATATATATATATATATATATATATATATGGTGGACTCTCCTGTCATATTCGACATATGAGGGTCAAGCAGCTCAGTTCCTAGAAACTGACAGCCCAGACACCAACACATGATTTTATTATAGTGTTGAAGCCTTTGTGCAGATCCAACCACAATTTTTGAAGGGCGATGTGCACAAGGTCCCCAAATGACCCTCCACAGATTTTGAATTCATCCAAGGCTATAGAACCCAGTATATCCTGCTATTTACCAATAGCTGGAAGAAGAAGAAGAGGATTAATACCTTTCCCAAGTATATTAGCACGTAAGTGAATGTAATGGATTTGACTGGAATTCAAACTCGGCTCTCTGATTCCTCAATCTGAACCACTAACAACTACTCCATCGTGCATGCATATATATATATATATATATATATATATATATATATATATATATATATATATATATGTATATGTATGTATGTTTGGAGTTTGTTTAAAAAAAGGAAAAAGTTTAATGTTGACAGTGAACCTGAAAACTATTTATGTTAAATTAAAAAAATATTTGGGAGATGTTTCCATAAAAGTTTTACTGGCACAAGACAAGATCAAAATAAGTTTTACATCAGCAGGAAAAAATGAAAAAGAAATGTTGTTGAAGTTTGAGTCTCTATCACTGCAACTGCTTGAGTATTCACCCTCAAGCATCAATTGGTATTCGATAGATTTCCTCTAGTTTGATTTCTGGAGATAAGTCCTCATCAAATGTTGCTGTCGAATCAGCTGGCGACATTTTCAGACTCATGCTGTCCAAAGAGCAAAGTGCCATCTGCAAACAACTGTATGGAATATCAGGGCTGTCCTCAAACAGGGGCTCTGTGACTTTGTTTTCTGAACTTTTCTGAGTGGATGTGGGTAAGAGAGTCTCCCCTCGATTTGTAGAGTCCATCAGCTCATGGATGAGGGCCATCAGAGAAATATTTCTGGAAATAAAACGAACTGATTTTAGTAAAGTACTAAAACCTTTTAATTTTTTCTGTTCAATATGGAGGAAAGTACAATAGATGATTGATTTGATTTTTATGGATTATCAACCCTTTGTAGGTTATTTAAAGCCTGAAAATATTTTTAGATTGTAAGAATTTTGGGGGGAGATTATAATGTTTTACTGATACAAATCCTACTAATTAACCCATAGATGGTGGGATAAGAGATGGATTCATGCCTTTCCAAAGTGTATTTGCACATAATATAACAAACCCAACTTGAATTGGAACTTGGCTCTTTGATTTCTTTTTTGAGTTGTTATCCATTACACCACCTATGCATCCAAACTTAAAGCATCTGGTATTCCCTAGCGGTCACCCATGCAAGTACTGACCATGCTTGATGTTGCTTAACTTTGGTTATTGTATGAAAAGCCAGTGTTTAAATCTGATAAATGCACATGGAATCTGATAACCCATGTGAATCATAAGTGAACAACAGGTAGTACAGCTGCGACAGCAGAAGTGTGTCTAAGGTAAGCTACCCTGAAAGTGCACATCCCTCTTCATGCTGGTTTTGAATTCAGAGTTGTCTTTCTCCTAGACTGGTTGCCACCCAAAGCACTGTCTTGTTATTTAAGCCACAGCTGGGGGAGAAAAGATGGATTTATACTCTTCCCAAACGTATTTGTGCAAAAGTGAATGTAGCAAACTTGACCAGAGTTTGAACTTGGCTCACTGATTTTTCTTTCTGAACTGCCGTTACATCACCTGCGTCCTCCAAAAAAAAAAAAAAAAAAAAAAAAAAAAAAAGGGACTCACCCCCCACCCCCAAGTAAAAAAAAAAAAAAAAGAAAAAATGGACTTACCCACTGACGCTTAACAGTCCACTCAAGTCTGCTATGTATTTATCCAAAATGTTTTCCTGAAAGAAAATTTCAAAATATTTGATTTTGGCCTTTTTCATATTTGTAGAATGAAATTCAATTACAGATGGAAAAAAAAAGAAAAGATTTTATAAACAAGAACTATTATCAGCTCATTACACCCCCAAAAAGTATTAATGACCTCTACATCTACACAAATGCTCATATCATAGAAAATGGTTGTTAGTTACATTTCATTGATGCAACTGGGCTGTTCGAAATTCTGTGCTACAGAACATATGAAAACATAAGAACAGTCAAAAACATTAATAAAGACTATGACCATAGCATCCAAACAGTCACAGGAACAGAAGTTACCAATGGGCTAAATTTATTTTGAGATACTTTTCATGATCTCACACCTCACGCCAAAATAATTATATTTAAATAATGGTCGGTTACTTGTGCTGCACCAGTAAGTACCTAACTCCTCCAGCTGTACTCTATCTTTACAAGAGTCAGATTGAACGTAAAATAGAATACTACTGCCATATAAAAGCTGGAGATGATCAGTTATCACTTTTTAATCTTGGTATAGTTCAAAACATCTACACGGCCTTGTTGGTGATGAATTATTTTCCACTGTAAAACCCTCCTTTCTCCAAAGACAAAATGCTGCTAGCCTCTCACTATTCTATTGCTGTTTCCATGGTGAATATTCTGGTGAAGTACATTAAGTAATTCCACCAGTTCAGACCTTCACAGCTGAGAGCTGCTAGGATGAACCATTTCCTTCATATTCCATTAGTAAGAAGGAAGTTCTATTCCAACAGCTTCTTCCCAAGAAGCACTGTTTTGTAAAATAGGCACTCAAGATAAGGCATCCAAGGCAAGAGAACCAAGTCTGCCCTGTTATTTAATCCATAGCTAGGGAAAAAATGATTTATACTCTTCTCAAAAGGTATTTGTGCAAAAGTGAGTGTAACAAACTTGGCCAAAATTTGAAATTGGCTTACCAATTTCTCCTTCCGAACTGCACCCCCCCCAAAGTGCTGCTGGATCACTACAATCTTAACCTCAAGTTTAGGATTTACCGTTATCTTTCCTACATATCCTCATAAGCTGCACTTCTTATCTCTTCCTCTTATGTTTATACAACCAACAACCTCATTCAGTAACCCTCGATTTTGAATGACTCTTGGAACTTGTATTGAGTAAATGATTAGTAAGATATTTGGTTGATTTGGGTTGTTTTACAGCATATCAACCTCAATGACAATTTTATTTATTGCTGGTAATATTTTTTTTTCAAACTATAGTTCGTATTTTTTTTTTTTTTACTAAAAATGTATTGCTGGTAATATTTTTTTTTTACAAAGTATTTCTGGTATTTATTAAAACTCATTTTTACAATTTCATAGTGTTTTGACCCCAGTTTGGGTGTCAGCTATTTGCCCATAGCTGGGACCCTAACAGGTGCTACCACCCCGGATCAGGTTGGACCTGGGAACATCAGCAATTAGTAGTAGTTCCACATTCCTCTAAACCTCCAGATCAGAGGCCTTGCTGTTGGACGTAGTTTATTGTCTTACCCAGGAAGCATTAATAAGATATATATATATATATATATGAAATGGACTAAGTCCAACAATTATTTTAATATATTTTATGTTTATGTTATTTTTATAGATACAGTTATTTAAGTAAATGCTCTGTTTATAATAAACAGTATTATCAGGTTGGCAAAAGTAATATATATATATTATATATATATATTATATAATATATATATATATATATATATATATATATATATATATATATATATATATATATATATATATATATATATATATATATATATATATATATATATATATATATATATATATATATATATATATATATATATATATATATATATATATATATATATATATATATATATATATATATATATATATATATATATATATATATATATATATATATGTGTGTGTGTGTGTGTGTGTTAGGGCACTATGGCACAGTGGATAAAGGCGTTAGTTAGATCCAGTGACAGGACCCAAATAGTGTGAGTTCAATACCCGGTTAAGGCAGTGGAAAACTTTCAGGGGGAAATTAACAGGTGATGACTGATATCCACTAAAAACATGGCATGTGGAACAAATACAGTGAGCATTCAGTTCGACATTCCAACCACCTGAAAAAGGCCTGGAACGTACAACGGCCGAAACATTGAAATAAATATGGTGACAAAGATGAGAACAATAGTTCGAATAATGTAAATAGTGTACATAATACCTCATCTCAGAAATACAGACAGATACTGAAGAAAGTGTTAGTATAGAACTTATGGCTACATCTAGACATTTCAACTGTAAAATGATGAGACATTGTCACTAATTTTGTACTGGAAGTCTAGGTACCTTAGAGGAGAGTTCATCAGAAAAATTATCATGAAAGTATTTACAGAAAAGCCATGTTATGGCGGTGGGAAAGTGACAGAAGCTGAGATGCCGGGTCAGGACCAATAACATTGCAGATTCTTCTTTCGATTTTGTCAAGAATTTCTATATATCAGTAGCACCAGACCAGATGTGGCAGTAATATTCAAAGCAAGAATGAATGGTAGACTCATAAATATGTAAAATAGATTCTGGCGAGGAAAATTCTGATGGAAAGCAAAAATGGTTCTCTCTGAAGATGAAAAGAGAGCAGTTTCATTTTGAAGGCATTAAAATTAATAAGCCATTCCTTGCCCCAGTTAACAGGTATTCAATTTTGACATCTCCAATTCATTGTTTGCATCTTGGAATTTTTTTGCTTGCAGACAACTGTCTTATAACTGATGAACTATTTTTGTAATTGTTAGTTCTTTCTTAATTATATTTATATGCATAGGTACACCAATAAGTGTATTGCCTTATGTTAAGAAGAGCACTTATTCCAAACAACAAATATCTTAAACACCTCCTTGTCAATGCACTTAATTCAGTGATGAATATTAATCACATGCACCAAACATTATACAGTGAACCCTTCAGATCAAAATTCAGCTATTAACTACATATGTTACAGACTTATTGATCCACTTTTGTAAACATGAGCCAGTTGAAAATTTTTCTCAGAAAGATCCTTGGAAATGCAGATGACAGCACCCCCCCGCCACCACACACAAAAAAACTCCTTAAAAAACAATACAATGTAAATGAACAGCTTCCAAGTAATACTTGCCTAAGATGTCCGTGTAGAAACTCAAGCAACCCACTTATAAGAACATGAAAAGTTAATAAAAGTCTATACCTGTCAGGCCCCAGAACCCTACCTCCCATGTAGATATTTATATTCTAGTCTTATATGGATTCTGGTCTATGTTTACCCAGCAATAGATTAGGGTTGATATAGTGGTTATGGGTGCCTATGCTACAGGCAGAAAGAACTACTTACTTGATTCATGGATCTGTTATCTTTGCAGGTGTTTGTATGGCTGAAGATAAAGAGCCCAGCCAGTGGAACACATGGCCCTCCCTTAAAACAAATACCCCAGGCAAAGAACTGTAAATAGGGGCCAGGCATATCTGATTGGTAAGAAAGGGGGAGGTACAGAACAGTAAGGAGATAGCAACACAGCCAACAAGTTACTCTGATGATGCACAACCAGGCTTAAAAGGAATGACCTTGTCAAAGATGTCAGTAAAGCGCAGGGCTTTATAAAACCATTCAAAATATCAAGACATGTAACTGAAGATTGAAAAAATTCTCTAATTTTCTCTCATTTAATCTGAAAATAGGAAATAATTTTATGTAGCTTATATATATATATATATATATATATATATATATATATATATATATGTGTGTGTGTGTGTTAAAATATATAGAAAATAGGAAAAAACTTGTTAGGTAAATAATCCAAAGTTCTTTAGTATTTCTGTTGTTATTTTTAAAAAACAGTGCTCGATACAAAAGTAGAGCCTAAATATAATTATTTATTTAAAAATATGATTCCATCGCTACATAAGAGTTTTCATGTTCCAAAACAAGAGCCGAAAACTTTAATATAATTATTTGAATGAAATTGAATTAAAGTACCAACCTCTGTTCTGTCTTCAAGCGAAATTCTTTTTGGAATAACTTATTCCTGAAATTTACGCATTTTATATTGAAGTTTTCAGCTCTTGTTTTGAAGCACGAGAACTCTTATGTAGTGTTGGAATCATATTTTTAAATAAATAATTATATATATATATATATATATACACACACACATAAAGCAAAGATTGCATGCAGTAAAAAAGAAACAAAGAAAAGAGAAAAGAAAATAAGGGAAGAAGAAGAAAAAAATAAGAAAGAAAGAGAAAGAAATGAAATAGAATGAAAAAAAGTGAAAAAGAAAAAAGTGAAAAAAGAAAAAGAAAAGGTATAAGGAAAAATAATAACCAGTATATTTCTGTAATATAAAGTTTTTAAAGCAGGCAGTCATTGTAATTAAAATGCTCAATATTAAGAAACAGAGCACTGTTATCAACATATAAATAAAAAAAAAAAAAAACAGATCTATTTAGAATATATAAAAATTATCTCATACACATAATCAAACAATTTCAAATAAGATTTTGCCATACAACATCTTTAAGAAGTTGCAAGTTTAAAATAGGTGCACATAAGAAATTAAAGTCTTTTTAGGAAAAAGTAACAGCTTTTAAGATGTTATTTTTTTTTTTATTGATTTCCCACCAAGCAAGGTGATAATGCCACTAAGATGCAAAGGGGGTTAAAAAGGTGAAATGTAAAAAGAAATAAGAAAACTAGTGAAAAGAAAGAACAATAAAAGAACAAGATTTAAGAAGACAGAAGACGACAATTGATGTTGCATTTAAATTTTTGAGGGATATAGGTGACAGGGAAGCAAAAAAAAAAAAAAAAACGGAAGTGAGACCCACAGGTGAGACGTGCAAGAAAAGAAACTATTAGAGTAGAACTTATGGTTACATCGAGCTATTTCAACATTAAAACGATGAGACCTTGTTGCCATCAACAGAAACACCTATTTGGGAACTGACGACATCAAGGTTGTCGATGAAGATATAAAACAACATAGGTCCAAGGATAGAGCCCTGGGGAAACCCTGCATTGTCCATTCAACATGACCTTCATTATATGATTTGTTAAGAATTATTGGATTAAGCCAATATATTCAGCTAGAAACCCTATAATTCTTGATCTTATGGAGAAAGCTAGTATACATTTATGATATCTAAAACCACAGCATGAGCCTGGTATTCTCATCTAATGCATGATAAGAAAAATTCACTAATAACTGTTAGTCCTGGGAATGAAAATAAACTATGTCTGGCAGCATGGCCTCTGATTGGGAGATTAGAGGTTTTGAGGAGTGTTTAATTTATTAATTGCTGTTGTTCCCAGGTCCACCCTCACTTAGGGTGGTAGTACCTTTTAGAGCCTCAGCTACAGGCAAATATGAACCTCCAAACAAAAAGAAAACACTATGAAAGTATAGAAATACATTTTTATACTACAAATACCAGCAAGTATATTTTTTGTATAAAAAATTATGAATAATACGTATTTATAGTAAAAATATCAACAATTTTATCACAAAATGACCAACAATACATTTTATCTATAGTTGAAAGCATACAATTATGTTTAAATTTTTAAATTTCAGTATTAAATAATACATAGAGGTAGATATGCCAATAAACAAAACCAACCAATTAATAACTGTTAACAAATCAGTGGTAGACCTAGAGAAACCTGAAAGCCATATTGTTTATCCAAAAGAAGGTCATGTAAAGTGAGATGCTTAACCAATTTGAGTATTTGCTAAAATGATATAAAAGGCTTATAAGGCAATAACAAAGGATCAAACAGTTCAACAGAGTTCTGAAAGGCAAGAATTACATAGAGGGATTTAGGTACTTTGACATGGTATAATGGTCAGCAAGTTTGCCTTACTAGACCAATTATGACTGAATAACTTTAATAACAAGCACTGAGGAAATTTTGTAATTCATAGTGTGCTCCCACATGTCAACTAAATCAAAAAGCATAAAAAATATGCAAAGAATATCTTGATCATCAGTTTATATATATATATATATATATATATATATATATATATATAATAATAGTAAGGAAAAAAACTTAAAACATCATATAAGTCAGTTCTAAATTTATTTCATCAGATATACATATGTATACCTGCCTCATCAGACAGACTACATTTTATTAAATGATACAATTTTAACCAGACAATATGAAAATAAACCAGCAATTAAGAAGTGGTTCCATGCTCCTCAAAACCTCCTGATCAGAGGCCTTGCTGTTGGACGTAGTTTATCATCATACCCAGGACAGCAAAACCTTCAGTCCCTCCTGCCACCTTAATCAGTGCTTTATACTGAGTAGGGTCGTTTGAACTGGACTAAGTTACTAATCCAGTTATTAACAACCTCAGTGCAAAAATCACCAATCCTTTAGCCTTGGCAACTAATAAAGATCTTTATTGCCTTCTTCCCACACACACACACACACACAGATATGTGAATATGCACTAAAAATTTTTTTAATGCTTATCCTTCAGGTAGAATATACATTTTTTTTCAAAAGCATCAATTTTTCGCATTTTATCCACAATTTCTATCTATATGTGTAAAAACTGGAAAAAATACAAATAAAAATCAAACAAAATTTATCAGTCGAATTTAATATAACTTTTTTTTATGTATTTGTGTGTGTTATATATATTTATTTATTTATTTATTTGAGGTGCCACTCAAAAGTTCAAAGAATCAGCCAATGTAAGATAAACATCTTAGCACTAATTATTCTCTCTATCATATGAAATAGTCCTTGTGAGGTTTCCCAAAAAAAAAAAAAAAAAAATCTTGCAAGTGGTACTGTCAAAAGCCATCACTACATATGGCTTGCAGGTGTTGTTCAAATTCTTTGGTCTTATGGATATTTAATTTGAATATAATATGATGGATTAGAGTTAATTTGTTTCTTTTTCTTTTCTGTTTTTTTTTTTTTTTATATCTGTTTAAAATATTTTCTAAACCCTAATTTAGTGCAACCCTGCATTTTTTTCATGACAAAAATCAAATTATACACAGGTCCTTTTGTATATAAGCACAGACAATCAGGACACCCCAAAATTCAGGAAATTTAACCATTCTAAAAAACTATTTGTCCTTATTTCCTCAGAACTCCTCCCAAGTTATATGATCTGCAAGGGTAATGACAAAAGTTTGTACCCAAGTACACACTCCAAATTCCCAAAGATACCCTGCTTTCTATGCATGCATACATTGATATCTGTTCATTTTTTTTTTGTGGGGGAGAGAAAAGTACCTACTCACCTTGGCAAGGGCTTTTAGTGTGAAATGGAGCAACTGCCTGAATAGCTGTTTGTCATCAATACACTGTCTTAGATGTGACAGAGCACTCTCCCAGTGGTCATAGGTCAGGAGAAGATCTTGGCCCTTTAGAGCTGAATGGCCACTTTCACTGGGAAAGGAAAACACAAGACAGCCAGAGATAATAAAAAAAAAAAAAAAAACACACACAGTGGGAGACAATCCATTACATTTTATATACAGAAATGTATTCTTTTTTTAAAATCATCTCACATCAAGTAAGGCAATAAAGCCATTAAGACACAAGGGGTTATTGAGTGTGAAAGAATATGAGAAAACATTATTAAGAAGAGTTCAATAAAAGAACAAGAATTAAGAAGACAGAAGATAATGACTGACATTTCATTTAATTTTTTTAATTTAAGCACAGTAACTAAGTTCTATGCTAAGTTTTTCTTTTCTCACACTTCTTATTTGTGGAACTCTCTTCTTGCTTTCTAGTCAAGTTTGATCTTCAAAAATTGAAATGCAATGTCAGTCTTTATCTTCTGTCTTCTATTAAGTTCTTGTTCTTTTATTGTTCTCACTTCTTAATAATGTTTTTCTTTTTCTTATATTTCACTCAGTAACCCCCCACCCTGCATCTTAGTGACTTTATTGCCTTGCTTGAGGTGAAATGATATAAAAAATGGCTAGCTAATTGTTTCCAAATGTTGCTTGCCTTCTCAGCTAGCTATCTAATCCCTACTGCAGACATCTGCTCAGGTACATTTGTATGTCTACACTTCCTACAGAGCCAGCTTGTGGTTTATATTACAGCTGAGTCAATCTTAGTGACAGTTTCTGGGAGAGACCACACAATCTGATGTGATCAGTAGTTGAAGAAAGCTAGTACGTTCAAACCCTCAGCCACAATGACTTGTGACTTCATGCTAACACAACCATTGACAGCTTCTAATCAGTTTTGTTTACCCAGTTTCACTGACAAAGCTTGTGTCAACTTGTGGTCTTTAGGTACATTGCAATGATGACACATAATGGGATCACTTCCTTGGCAAAATCAACCATGGTGAGATTCAAACTCAGTCTTTATGGACAGACTGCTGACAATGAACTCTTCAAAAATTTCTGAGCACACCTGTTTGCTCAGGCATATTTGTGTTTGATCAGCACTCACAGAGCCATCCTGTGGTCTATACTGCAACTATGCTGAGCAGGCCTTAGTTATAGTTTCTGGGAGAGAGTGTACCACCTGGCAAGAGCAGTGGATTGAAAAATGCCAGTAAGGTCAAATCCTCAGTCATTATGACTTGTGACTTCCTTCTAGCAATAAGCATTGTGTAGCAAAGGAGTCAAATTCAATATGGAGTGTAAGGGACACAACTCTTTTCGTAGGAAAATGTCTGACACGACGCACAGTAAAGCAATGTGTACCGAACACAGGTGTAATGCCTTCTGCTAATTTCTCCAAGTGACCTGCTTTTATGGAGCCCAAACACACCTCATTAGCATGCGTGTAACGCAACCTTGCGAGACTGCATGAGACCATGAATATTAAAAAGTCACGGACGCCATCTTGGACCCTTTCTTTCTTTTCTCAACCCACAGGCCAGACAGACGTGAGGGTGTTTGGGAGGTAAGCCATTTCTATTTTCCCCATACATTGATTGCCTCAGTTCCATATACTTAATTTCAATCGCAAGGTTTGAGTCAACTAATGATAGTGTTTTCCAAAGCTGCTACATGCTGAGATTGCTTTCCTAGGATGACAACATTGAGAAGTCACCTTCCTAACAAATCAATAATGATGAGATTTGAACCCGGATCTCATGGTTAGAAAGTGGACAATCTAACTACTCAGCCACATTACACAAACACAAATAGATAATATGAGTATTATTTTACCTAAACAGATTAATAAAAGCCAAAAATTAAATGACACTGACCTTTTTAAAATTAACTGGACTTTGGCCTCCACAGCATCCCACAAATGTTTTGAGGCTTCTGGTGGGGGCAGGCAAGCATTGGCTTGAGCATAAACTTTTTTCTACAAAACAAAATTCAAATACAGACATTTGCGCAAAAGGTTTAGTCTTGATATAAATACCAAAGTCACTCAAAGACATTATTAACTACAGTATCATGTCTTGTGAATAGTGCAGATTTTTAAATCTCTTCTGGCATTGTTAAAATACTAAATGGCATGAAAGTATTGCTAAACATTGAAACCTAGCCAACACTGAATTAATATTTTGCACAAATTGTTCCACGGCTGACATAATAGTAATCGGAAATAATGAAGTCACTTAAAAAAAAAAAAAAAAAGGGCATTTAAGATATTAACTTATTATTGCTTTGTGGATTAAGCAGAAGAATTTGGCTGTGCATCAGTGCAGATAAGAGAATAAAAGAAATCAGCTTCAGAAGAAATGAAGTGTGACATGTAGTGCAACAAGAAAAAATTTAACACTTTGTTAAGTTAAAAACAATAAAGAAAGACCGGTTCTAAAACAAAAGAAAGAATGAATGAATGAAAGAAAGAGAAATTGTTAACGGGTGAAAGAAAGAAAGAAAGAAAGAAAGCAGCTAATTGCAAAGAATTGGTAAAAGAAAGAAAAAGTATGAATTATGAAAAAGAAAAACTAATTAAAGAAAGTACAGAAAGGAGAAAGAGAACAACTAGAAAGAAAGAAAGAAAGAGAAATTGTTAATGGGTGAAAGAAAGAAAGAAAGAAAGAAAGAAAGAAAGAAAGAAAGAGAAATTGTTAATGGGTGAAAGAAAGAAAGAGAAATTGTTAATGGGTGAAAGAAAGAAAGAGAAATTGTTAATGGGTGAAAGAAAGAAAGAAAGAAAGAGAAATTGTTAATGGGTGAAAGAAAGAAAGAAAGAGAAATTGTTAATGGGTGAAAGAAAGAAAGAAAGAGAAATTGTTAATGGGTGAAAGAAAGAAAGAAAGAGAAATTGTTAATGGGTGAAAGAAAGAAAGAAAGAGAAATTGTTAATGGGTGAAAGAAAGAAAGAAAGAAAGAGAAATTGTTAATGGGTGAAAGAAAGAAAGAAAAGAAATTGTTAATGGGTGAAAGAAAAAAAGAAAGAAAGAAAGAAAAATTGTTAATGGGTGAAAGAAAGAGAAATTGTTAACGGGTGAAAGAAAGAAACTGATTGCAGGGAATTGGTAAAAGAAAGAAAAAATATGAATTATGAAAAAGAAAAACTAATTAAAAGAAAGATATAAAAAAAAGTGCAAAAGGAAGAAGAAAGAGAAAAACTGATTGCAAAGAAAGAAAGAAAAGTATGGAAGGATGAAAGAAAAAATTAATCAGAAACACTAAAACTTTGAATAATATATATATATATATATATATATATATATATATATATATATATATATATATATATATATATATGTATGCACATATATATATATATATATATATATATATATATATATATATATATATATATATATATATATATATATATATATATTTTGAACAATAAAAAATATTAAAAAATTAAAATCTTCAGGCACAATGGGTTGTATATTAATATTCTTTCCTTTTTATTATTATTTCATTTAGATACCTCATATATATATGTGTGTGTGTGTGTGTGTGTGTGTATATATATATATATATTATTTTTTTTTTTACCACCTTCTGAAAACTGAAATTGAATGTTAGTTTTAATCCACCAGTGTTTTTAAATGTTATGGTAGATATTTGCTTTAGATATAAGAAAATTTAAAAGAATAAATTTTCCATGGGAAAATTTTTAAGCTCCCTGGCTTTCACTTCACTCTAACCATGACTACTTCTCTGTGTACACTTGTCAAACATGACAAATATGAAGGAGTCCTCTGGCCTTATGCAAATACAGACTGCTTTTCCATATATATATATATATATATATATATATATATATATATATATATATATATATATATATATATATATATATATATATATCCTGTTTCTTCAGACTCTGTTGTTAGGTAAACCTTGTCAGCAGCTAGACACTTTGCAAGACAAATACACAGCCACCCTCAACATGACAAATATTCATAAATTATCAGGAAAAGGAACTTATTCACATGCTAATTATTTCTTCCATCTCCTAAAAGTACATATATCCAGACTAGCAAGGATACCTAGCAGTGTTTCTAGCACAGCCATTGTTTTTAAGGGGAGGATTTATCTTATCATTTTTAGATTTATTTTTAATATAGCAACTAAAAGGATTGGCGTCATGGGTGGGGGAGACAAATGCAATATAGAGTCTGAGATGAGGTGGGGTTATGTTGTGGAGAAACCTGTTTCATGACATATTTTAGTAAAACAAATCTCTTTTGCATTGCAGTTTTCTAACTAATATTGTATGGATAAAAAAAAGCATTGTTTAACATAGTGGTATAAATATGGTAATTTTGAGTAAATGGTAGAATTCAAAATTTTTATGCAAGTTATCATTATCAGCATTCATTCATTTTTTTGAATTCTTAGCATTCATCCATTTTTGAGATTCAAAAGTTTAATGAAATGTTATCTTTGTTAGCATTCATCCATTTTTTAGATTAAAAAGTTTTATGAAATGGTTATCTTTCTTAGTATTCACCCATTTTTTATGATAGTCTAATCATCTTATTCCAAGCAAGGCAATAAAACCACTAAGATAGAAGGGATTATTGCGTGTTAGAGAATATAAAGTAACAAAAACTATTAAGGAGAAAGAATACTAAAAAAACAAGAATTAAGAAGACAGAAAATAAAAAAAAATGACATTGCATTTAAATGTTTGAAGACCAAAGCAAGAAGCCGGAAGAGAGTTCCACAAGCGAGAAGTATGATAGAAGAATCTGTTAGCATAGAACTTATGGTTATATCTAGCCATTTCAATTTTAAGACAAGACCTTGCTGCCAATCTATAGCAATTCAAGATCAAGCTGGGAATAATCAAGTTCAAGTTGGATTAATCAAATTCAAGTTGGTACTAAACAATTTCAAATTCAGACTAAACAATTTTCAAGTTGGTACCACCCAGGTGTAAATGTAAATATTCAAGAACAGCAATTCACGACATGTGTATTCAGTTAAACACACCATATATGCATATTGATTAAATTAATCATGATCACATGCTTTTCTTTAACAAATAAGATATTTCATTCTTTGCCCCTCTGCACCTGAAACGATTGCCATGGCAGCTGTTGGTAATAGACATGGTAATTATATTAAGAAAGTCCAGAAGCAAATAAGAGTAGCATACGATACTAATGGAGACCTGGCAAAGTCTTGCGGACAGTCTTGGAATTAAAAAATCCACAGCATACCAAAGGGTAACTACACATGATGAACCCGAAAAGCAACATGGTGGATTGTGGTGTTCTAAAATTGATGCTGAATGTGTGTAGAGGAGAACCCACGAATAATATTGAAGCAGATGGCAGCTTTGATAGAGCAGAGATTCAATATGGTTGTGAGTTCTAAATGTTTTCGACATTTGAATGAACTATTATTCACACTCAAAAAAATTTACAATATGCTGGAGAATATAAATAGTGATATCAACAAAAACATTGACAATATGTCCAAGAACTTCTATGATTCCAGGCTGATAATATTCCAGTTGTTTCTGTTGATGAACAAAACTTTAATTCGTATATTTCTCATACAAAAGGGCAATCAAGAAAAAGGAATCACTGTACTGTCATTGCTGCCGGGACTCACAGGGCAAATATTCACGTAATTGAAGGGATCAGTAGACTTGGATTAATCTATCATGAAATCCGCTGAGGGTCATTCCCAAAAGAACAAGCTGAAGTATTTGTGAGACATTGTTTACAACAAGCGCACGACAGATACCAGTTAGCTATGCTATTGGTGGCTGACAATACCCCATGCCTTGCTTTGCTGGAAAACATATTTCTGGAACATGAGTTTGCCTATTATCAATTCTTACACCTCGGACCATATAGTCTGATGATGAACCGGATAGAAGGAGCTTGGTCAATTCTTAAAGCTGGTGTAAAATCCAAGGTAGCTTTGAAGCTTCCTTGAGTTCTTGCAGGCGAAAGACGGGGAAATGCAACACAAACTGAATTTCACATTGCACAAATTTAGCAAGAGATTGCTAATAATATACCTCTAATTACTCTGCCTAAATGTACTGCTCTGCCTGCATATGTTCAGCAATTTATACAGTCAGCCTTGGATCTTGAGGATATGAATTTTTGACATGCACGAGTAAATTGATCTTCCATAATTCATGAGTTAGTGACAATAAATATTTTCTAGCTCAGTTTCATTGTTATGCCTAATTTATTTTATTGAAAAATATATTTGCCAATTTGAATTTGTTCAGTATCAATTTGAAATTGGTTAGTCCAACTTGAAATTGGTTAGTATCAATTTGAAATTGGTTAGTATCAATTTGAAATTGGTTAGTCCAACTTGAAATTGGTTAGTATCAATTTGAAATTGGTTAGTCCAACTTGAAATTGGTTAGTATCAATTTGAAATTGGTTAGTATCAATTTGAAATTGTTTAGTATCAATTTGAAATTGTTTAGTATCAATTTGAAATTGGTTAGTCCAACTTGAAATTGTTTAGTATCAATTTCAGTTTGATTATTCCCAACTTGAAATGTGCTTAAATTCATAAAGTCAAAGTACAAAAGAGGAAAGTTCATCAGAACAATTACTATGAAGGTATTTATAGAAAGGCAAGCTATGCTATGGTGGTGAGAAAGGGACTGAAGCTGAGATGCCAGGTCAGGAACGATAACATTACAGATTATTATTTAGATTTTATGAAGATTCTCTAAATATATAGCAGGAGCACCAGACCAATGCATGGTTGAATGGTAGACTTATAAATATGTATGATAGATTCTGGTGAGAAAAATTGTCTAGCATGACACTGGGAACGAGCTAGCCTAACAACTGATTCAATATAATCTTTACACTTCATGTCATGTTGTGTATTAAATAGTGTAGACATTTTTCATGGGTTATTATGTTATATATAATTAAAAGGGTTTTAAAACATTATTTTTTACCAATTGTTCATATCCCCCCCCTTTCCAGGATGATAGAGATGTTAGTTCATTAGTGGGATGCTTTTCATATTCCGAGTGTGTTTTAACATTTGTTGTTACTATGTCTGGATGAGTACACGTATGTGTGAGTGATTGGTAGAGTGAATATTTCATTTTTATTCAGTCCTACATTATTTTGTTTAGTTAACTCATATTCTTGCTGCAATTAGGATTGTGGAGGGGGTCTATTACTAACACCATTTTTTTTCTTTGGTTTGTGTAAATAGTAGTTTAATTGTTGTAAATACACATTAGGGTCTAAATATTTAAAAGTTTATTTTATTTCCCCCTACCACCACAAAAATTGTATATATAGAGGCTAGTTTATATTTAGAGACATTGTGGTATTATGGTGACTGCTGTAAGAACGGTAAGAAAGACCATGTTGATTGATGAAAGGAATATAAGCAAATAGTTGTGTTATTGATTGTGTCTAGCTAAGTTAAAATGTAGGATAAATTGATGGTCAGCCCTTTCCTCTGTTCCATTATTTTCGCCTTGTGCCATATTTTGTGTAAATAATTATGAATAAATAATTTCTTACTAATTGTTAAAGTTATATGTGTGTTAGTAAATTGGATCTTTCTTCCTGGTACTATTAGTTTGGTAGTGTGTCGAGTAAAGCTCAGATGTTTACCACTAACTTTATTCTCGTTACAGTGGATCTGCTTACAGTTTGCTCTACCCATCAGAGAAACAAGAGGAGAATTTGGCGGATTTTGAAGCTCTTACCACATTTCTTTCTCGAGTGAAGGCAGCAACTCCAACGTTGAATTTGTAGGCAAGTTGAGCTTTGTCAACAAATATCACCTTAAATGGAAATGAAAAAAAAAAAAAAAGAGAATTAAAACTCATGAAAGAAAAAAAAAAAAGAAGATATTTTTATTATAAATAAAAATTCCAGCAGTAAATGTGCAACTATGTTATCCAAGATCCCCAGCTTTTGTTTTTAATGATCTTGTGGTTAGGTGGTAGGGTAGGATTTTCTTTACTGGAAATTTTGGAATAAAATGAACTGACTGATGGATGTAAAATAGATAATATATTTTTATTTATTTTCTTTAGAGTGATGAGGTGTTCTTTGGTATTCAGCAGAGCAAAAAGTTCATTAATAAGGCAGATATTGATAGCAGTCTGGAGAAACATCTGTTAGTGGTAGTTTGAAGTCAGACAATGATAGGGATAGTAGTAATCTTAGAAATAAATCACTGTCAATCTACTGTGTTTTTCTCAGCCTTAAGCAAGGCAGAAATATAATTAATAGATGACCCCTTAACTGTTTCTTCACACGTCATGCATGGTTGGTTTCTACATACTAGAATCTCTGTGTGTCCTCTTGCTGTCTCTTCTTGCTGCCTCCCTCTGGTACTAGTCCAGGGGTGTCAGCTTATATACTTTTGACCAGGCTTTGAGTTTCTGGTGGGAACTTTGGTTTCAGCTAACATCAAAAGTCTCTTTCTGTTAAATTTTTGATTGGCCAAAATTATTTTATTCTCTTGCATTACTTTCTTTTCAATTTTTTTAATAACAAGTTATGCATAATTTTTGGTATTTTCCAGTTAAAAATAAGTAGGCTCACTACAAACTTCTGGTATTTTTTGGCCGGGTTCAGTCATTTCTTCTTTTTCCTATTTTTATTTGAGAGTTGCCTTCTTGTTGAGAGAGAAGTATAAAAGGAGAAGTTTAGAGAGAGTGAGAGAGAGAGAGATAAGGGTTTTAAAGGAAAGAGCAAATGCCTTATTTTACATTATTTACATTATTCGGACTATTGTCTTCATCTTTGTCAGCATATTTATTACAACATTTTGGCTGTTGTACACTTCGGCCTTCTTCAGGTGGTTGGAATATCGAACTGAAACCTTTCCATTAGTTTTTAATGGATATCAGTTATCTCCTGTTACTGCCTTAACCGGGTATTGAACTCATACTCTTTGAGTCCTGTCACTGGATCTAATTAACGCCTTTATCCACTGTCCTTGAGAACATCTGTGTATGAATTTCTGGGTATTATAAAACTAATGTCTTCAGCAACAATATTTTATCAGTGCTCATATTGCAATTTTTGCTGTTATCATTGCATGTTTTACCAGAGCTCATATTGCAATTTTTGTTGTTATTTTAATTTGAATTATTTTTATTTTTATTCACATATTTTATTTTTTATTGGAACTCACTACAATCTCATCTCAATGAATCAAGATTGGGAATCAAACTCGCAACTGCCTTACAACTTGATCCTTCTTTGTGATGTTTGCTAAGTTTTGCTCAGTACAGTATATTGATTCATTTGTATTTTACAGCTTATCGACCTTTTGCAGTTTAATTAAAGCCAGAAAATATTTTTAGATTGTAAGATTTTTTTTGAGATCATAATGATTTACTGATACAAGTCCTACTAATTAACCCATAGCTGGGGGGAAGAGGTGGATTCATTACCTTTACCAAGGGTGTTTGCAAGTGAATATAATGAACCCAAATGGAATTGGAACTTAGCTCTCTGATTTCCATTTCTGAGCAATCCATCATACCACCCACACACTGGTATTCCCAAGTGGTCACCCATCTCGGTACCAACTAGACTGAATGTTGCTGCACTCATTTCCAAGCTGCTAAACATTAAACCACCTGTATTTCCTCAAACTATAAGATAAATATTCTAAACAATTAATCTGTGCTGCCCAAGTTTGAAGCCAAGAAGCTCTTCCAAAAAAAAAAATCTGATATTTGGTCAGATTTTGGAAACTGCGCATGGGGTCAATCCAAGAACTTTTCAGCACTCGCTTGTATATTGGTCCATACTTGCTGATGGGAACCTACCAGGTACTGTGGATCTTCAATGAAGAATAATTGGCACAAAGTCTCAAACAACTGAAGGTTGATGTTGATTTTGTCAGCATCGTTGTTATCAAGGCCAAGAATGAACTGCCACATGGGAAGAGTTTTTTCATTTACATCTGGAAAAACAAACAAACAAACTAAAAAAACAAAACAATGACAGAAGTTGAAGAAATAAAATTTGATAATTATTTGCAATGTATGTCCATAACAAAACAGAAACCCATAACCTTCTTATATCTGCCGCGTCTCTTCAGGACACAGGCGATAATGCTTTTCCTCTCCCTTTGCTAAGCCTCTCACCTCCTATTCCACCATCCATTCACACAAACACACCAGTTAAATGACTTTCTCCATTCCCCTGCCCCTACTTTTCAATATGCCCTATGAGTGTTAAGTTTTCCAAGCCCTCCCACCTCACTATATGTCCAAGGAAGTTCAGCTGCCTTTGCCTGATTCTGAGTACAAGTGTTCTTTCTGTTGCCATTTTCTTAAAGACTTCCTTGTTGCTTACTTGCTCCATCCATGCAGTTTTCAGTTTCCTTCTGTAGAACTGCATTTCTGCTGCTTCTAGTTTTTTTCGTCATCTGTGGGAAGATTGTCCAACATTCACTGCCATGGACATCATATAGCAATCCAACAATTTTTTCTTTGTTTCTAGCAAAGTTTTTCCATTTCTTTCTTGTGCAAAAGACTAGTGTTGAAGGATGAATTCATCAGTCAAGAAATTTTCTGATGAAAAGTAACTGTAGAAAAATGAATCTGTCGATTTATATTAGGATACATTTTCAATTTTTACAGCTCTTTACTTCAAAGCTTATATATTAGGTTGGTGCAAAAATAATGACGTAATAATGTTGTTTTTTGACCTTAAAAAATACGTCAAAAAACAACATTATTACGTCATTATTTTTGCACCAACCTAATATTTAAAGACAATGACTCCACTGTATTATTAATATTACATTTTAGGGTATATAAAAAGCATTAAATAGTAAATAATTCAAATGTATAGAATTATTTGGTAAATACTTATCAAATCAAAGGAGTGAATTAATGGTAAATTGTAGACAGTTTACCTAACAATTTAGTTAAACTTTGGAATTTGATAATGGTTTTTCTTATATTTTAATTGAACTGTGTTGCACCATATATGCTTAATTTCCTATTTGTACGATTAATTTGCATTTAATATAGTTCTGAATTAATCCCCTGTTAGTATTATTAACATCTTATATGATGTATTGGTAGTTAGTATCTTACATTGATTGGTTGATATTATTAACATCTTATATGGATGATCTTTATTTAATGTTGCATATTAATTTACCAAATAATTCTATACATTTGAATTATTTACTAGTTTCTCAAAGTGGCCTCTTATTTATCAACTACAAAAAATTTTTATGTAGGAAATCCACAAAGTATATAAAAAGTTTGCATTAGGTTAAATTACCTCTCTACCCCTCTGCTTTTATTTCTTGAGAAAGTTGATCGTCTGATATGTATTTACTTATGTAACAATCTGTATCAATCTTTCATGTCTGGCTGCTGTTGGCAGATAACTCTGGGTCATGACCCATTTCTAAGAAACTTTTAATTTTTTCTTTTTCACTTAGTTTGAATCAAGCGTAGATCATATTTGATTGGTTGATCAGGGTAAAGCCCTCAAGCCATATAACTTTTTTTTTTGAAAAAAGAGGATTTATTTTGCTTTTTAAACCAAATCAATTGTTCAGTCACTAGTAATTTACAGTTGTCTGAGGAGATGCATTGGTATGAGCTGAAACACGACTGCAATTGTGTAGGGATTTTTACATATTGTTTTAATATCCTAAAATAAATAATATTTCTCTACTCTGTATTGAGCCCTCTTTTAAATTAAAATGTATGAACATTAGAATTGTACTCTATTTGTTCCCATTTTACCTGGATATATTATATCAAAAACCTACTGTGGTTAAGTTTTTTATTTAATTTTTCTTATGTTCTTTAATTAACATCCAGAAAAGAAAAAAATTTTAAGAACACAAGAAAAATTAAATAAAATAACTGCATTACTTTTGTCAGCAATTTTGATGAAATCTGTATAAAAGAGGGATTGTTGCCTAAATACACAATTTTGATATAAATCTGTATAAAAGGGATTGTTACACATACATACATATATATATATATATATAATACACACATACATACATATATACAATTATATATATATATATATATATATATATATATATATATATATATATACATACATATATATATATATATGTGTGTACATACATATATATGATATTGCTTTAATTATAATATAATAATGCATTCAAGATTCATTCATGTCTGTTATATATATATAGCATACATACATATGCATCTCACCTGCCTCCAGGTCAAGGATGTTTTTAAAACTGTTCAGGACAAGCATTGGCTGTTGTGAAGCAAGGATCATCATTTGGATTTGTCTTGTCTCTGGAGGAAGACAATACGAGGGATTCAGCAGTTGACATACATATGTATATATATGGATCCACCGACGGAATATATATATATATATACACACTGACATATATATATAAAATATATAATCCAACAGGGGAAAATATATAAAGAGAATGAATGAGAGAAGAAGAGAGAAATGTGGTGAGAGAGAGAGAGAGAGAGAGATGAAAGAGTGTAATGGAAAAGAATGAAGAATGATGAGGCAGAATGTTTACCCCACAAAATCAATATTTCTTGTCTCAGATAAATTCAGCCAAGACATCATCAAAGAAATCATACATATATATATATATATATTTACACAAGATCAGTGGTAAATATTTTATTTTACATACATACATATATATATATATACACACACACATACATATATATATATATACACACATACATACATATACATACATACATACATAATATATATATATATATATAAATATATATATATATATATATATATATATATATATATATATATGTATATGAACTCAAATCATTCATTCATTAGCTGATATTCCAGGAAGAAACAGGACAAGCATTGGCTTTTTGAAGCAAGGATCATTTATTTGTCTTGTCTCTGGAGGAAGAAAAATTCAGCAGTTGACGAACACTGTCTTTTTCGGACGGGGAACTTTTTGTCATCCAATGGGGGGAAAAAAGAAAAGAAAATGAATGAGAGAAGAAGAGAGAAATGTTAGAGATTATTGTAATGGAAAAGAATAATGATGAGGCAGAATGCAAAATCAAATTTCTTGTTCAGGTGGACATCATAAAAGAAATCATCAATTTGCAAGATCAGTGGTAAATTTTATTTTAACGCTAATATCTCTTCAAATTTTTCCCAAATAGTAATTCCTTAAAGTTGAACTTTCAAAATTAGATATTTACCTTTTGGATGTTAACAAAAACAATTTTTTGCACTTTTTCATTCTTATTTTTTAAGAAGAAATTTGGGCCTATTTACTCCCTTCACAGTAATTCCTTATAGTTAACTTTCAAATTAGGGTTAGGTGGTTTTTTTTCTGTTGTTATTCTTTTATTTGTTGATGTTTACATATATTTGAAAGTTAACTTTATTCTTAAATTAAGTACAAAAAAAAAAATTTTTTAAAAATTGCTTTACGGAAGCGCGTACTAATTTCTGAAGGAAAATAGTTCAGCAGTAAATGACGCTCGGTGTTAAAATGAAAATTTACCAGATCAGTCATTTCTTCAACAAACCAGAACATATGAGGGTGAGTCAAAAAGTCGGGGAGTGAAGACAGAAATCAAAACCAAAGGAGTGAATCATCAAATGACAAAAAATTAGTTTCCAAGTCAGAGGATCTGTGCATCCTTCCGGTTAATATGTTAATCCTTGATATTTAACATTTTTCAACCAATGGGTTTGCAGTCTTGCTGACAATAAAAAACAGGCTTTGTAATCCTTTTGAAGAGTATTTAAGTAAAGTTTCTAGACAGACAAAACAATTAAGGAGATAGATACATGCAACATCATTTTACTATGGCGTCTTCAAAGAGATTCCCTTATTCATTCACCAGTCTTTGTCACTGAGCTATGTGACGTGCACTCTTCCTTGCCAGGCTACGTGACACTTGCACTCTTCCTCACCAATCTACGTAACATGTGCACTCTTCCTCACTAAGCTACATGACATGTGCACACTTCCTCACTGAGCTATGGGACATGTGCACACTTCCTCACTAAGCTACGTGACATGTGCACTCATCCCCATTGAGCTATGTGACATGTACACTCTTCTTCACCAAGCTCTGTAACATGTACACTTTACCTCACCAGGCTATGTGACACTTGCACTCTTCCTTACAAAATTACATGACACTTGCACTCTTCCTTACCAAGCTACATGACATTCACCCATCTTCCTCACCAAGCTCTATGACATTTAACATTCTTTTTCACCAGCTACATGACACTTACACTTTCTATCACACTTTCTTTCTTGCCTCTTTTTCACAGATACACGTAGAGAAATCACTTTTCTTTTCATCTGAACAGCAACAAACAAGGAACATCAATCTTCATACAAGCTGAAAAACTTCAGTTGTAAAAACACGAAAATAAAAATATTTAAAATTTTTATATTGAAAAGCCTTCCTTGCCTTTTTCTTTGTAATACAATATGCTTTATTATAAAAGAAATAAGGAACACAATCAAACATATCATACATCAAGGTGCAGCTATACATCATAGGTTCACATCCCTACTTCTCAACATAGTCACCAACTCTTTCAATGGCAGTGTTCCACCTATGAATGAGGGCATGTAACCCAGCTTCATAAATCTCGACTGGCTGTTGATGTAGCCAATTCCTTACAGCTGTTTTCACTTCATCACCACCATAACATTTACCCCTCAGTGCCTCTTTTATTGAACCAAAGAGATGAAAATCTGAGGGTGCTTAGACAGGGGTTCTAGCATTAAGCTTCATTAAATATATTTGTTACATTGAGAATTTATTGATTAGTGAGGATTTACTACAAGTTAATATCACATGATCAACTTCTTCAATTTTGTTTAAATTGATAACTGATTAAATTAATAAAGGATTGAATTTTATATTATCCTTCTAAGATAATATAAGCATTGTTATTTTCAATAAAATGCAAAGAGAATGAGTTCATTTCAAGTTGTGGCAGGTCAGAAAAGTGTAAAGCACATTCACGTAAATGTTGAGGAAGGATTATTGTTACCTGTTCATCACAGTTGACCGTATTCTGCCAGAGTGATTCCAATTGCCAATAACTGTCCAAAAACGGATCTGGAAAAAAAAAATGTAAGCACAAAAATTTGTAGAGAGCTATTTACATTATTTGGACTATTGTCCTCATTTTTGTCGCCATATTTATCACAACGTTTCGGCTGTTGTACGCTCTGGCCTTCTTCAGGTGGTTGGAATGTCGAACTGAACCCTTATTTTGCTCACTGGGGTAGACTGTTCTAGTTCCACATGCCATGTCTAATGGATGTCAGTTATCAGTTATAAAGGGTTCAGTTTGACATTCCAACCACCTGAAGAAGGCTGGAGCATGCAATGGCCGAAACGTGATAAATATGGCGACAAAGATGTGGACAATAGTCTGAATAATGTAAATAGTGTACATAATACCTCATCTCAGAAATATAGACAGATATTGTAGAGAGCTGTTTTTGAAGGAGTAATGGATTTTTTATTTATTAATCTGACAGATTTTATCACTTAAATGTTATTTTAGTTGATACCCATATTTGAGTTGATTCTTAGTTTATTTATTAAACACATTATTTTGTATACATTAGGATACCAAACTGACCAAATATGAATGGTTCAAGAATAAATTGTGCTTAAAGGCACAATTTGGCTTTGCTCAAGTGGCAAGGACCCTTTCTTGGTCTAAAGTATGTTGAATCTAATGCTAAGGTGGGTGCAGGTTTGAATCCTGCTGGAGAGTGCATCTATTATTTAATAAAAATTCTCAAATATTCAGCCTGGTAGACAAAAAGAAATATTCTCTTTAATAAATGAACAAAGTGACTACTCAAATATGTGTATCTACTAAAAATAATGATCAAGTGATATAGAACTGTTTATAAAATGGAGGGATTACTTTCAATTTTGTTAGTAATCTGAACATTCAACAACAAAATTAGCATTTCATGCTTCAGATAAATCAGCCAAGATGTCATAACAGCAATAATCTGTAGCAGCAGTATATTTTACCAAGCAACCAATATATTTCCTCTCTCTCTCTCTATATATATATATATATATATATATATATATATATAGAGAGAGAGAGTCATCCACAGATAGACTGTTTCACAGCTCATCAGAATGGCTAGATATCTGATTGCTTGAAGCAGGGATTGAAACCTGACTGATTTGGTATCAGTTGAAGATTCTAACCTCTAAGCTATTGACACCTGACAGGGAAAAAGGTGTATCTTATTATAAAACGCAGATTGTGTGTGTGTGTCTGTACGTTTATATATTAGATCAGATTTCCTACATTTTTCAACCGATTTCAACAAAACTTCACAGGACTACGTAAAATTACCTTGTGGTAGTTCTAACAGCGCCAAAAATTGGAAAAACACAATTGTTTTGCATGAAATCAATTTGAAAACACGATTAAGAGGCATCACGAGAATGAAAGGGGGACAACTCATATAGAGTTATACTTATTATAAAACCCAGATTGTGTGTGTGTGTTCGTTTATATATGGGATCAGATTTCCTACATTTTTCAACCGATTTCAACAAAACTTCACTTTTTTTTGGCAGGTAGTGTTTCTTATTGTCTTGCACACTAATTAAGACATGCGTGTCCGTCAACCTTAAACAATAATCTTTGTCAATTTTATTTTTCAGTCTTTATGATGGTCAATACTTGATCTATCTTTTTACTGTTACATCCCCAGGCAATGCTGGGCTCTACTGCTAGTTATATATTTTTCAAACATTTCTTATTTTTATACGTTTTTTTTATTTTTTTTATATAGATACAAATATTTAAGTAGATGCTCTGTTTATAATAAACAGTATTAACAAAATTTACCAGCCTGTATGGTATGACTTCTAATTCTCTTAGAACCACCACACCATATAAGTTGAATAAGTCAAGTGAGGAGCTACATCATTGGGTCCCCCTTCTATTTTTGTATATTTACTGAAGTCATATTCCATATGCAGGTGGTTTACTGCCAGTATAAGTTCTAGATTGTGGATCAAATTTACCTAGATTCAGGATAATTTAAAAAATCTTTGTGCAAGTTATAAATATGAGGCTTGTTTGATAATTAAGATTATCAATCCATGTGGTGTTGGTAATAGGCGAAACAGAAACATGTTTGAGAATTTATTTGTTAGTTGGGAAAGACCTGTTCCAATATGCTTAGTGCCATTTTGCTCTGTGAAGGCACTGAATGATAGTGTTTGTCATGTTATGAGTCCTATATGTTGAAGTTGTGTATAAAGTAGCAATCGGTAATAGGAGTTGGAAGCATAGAAGGTTGCATGTCAATTGAAATTCGCAGATGTATAAAAGAGAAGAAAAATTGCAAGCACTCAATGCATTTTCAAAATAAGGCCTGAAGAAAAGTCTGTTTTTAAAACATCATGACAATACAATGCTGCATCACAGTCAGCAAATGTCACAAAATGTGAGAAGCATAAGATTCAGTTATTGCACACCTTCTGCACAACTCTGATTGGCACTGTTATCCATTACTGAAGTTGCTGTGTGCACTTGGATCAAAAGTAAACCAATCATTTTTTATGGCTTATCAACCTTTTGTAGGTTATTTAAAGCCAGAAAAGATTTTTAAATTGTAAGAATTTTTGGTATATCATAATGTCTAGCAGCATGGCCTGGCGTTGCCTGTGCTTGATTCAAAAATCGTACGACTCATACAGCAATCGCTATCACTTGACTTAAAATATTTTTGCCCTTCCTTGCCTTTAAAGGAGTGCCCTTTGCCGTGCTGATGTTGCTACACGCCTTACTTCTTGCCTATCTCACACTGCAAATTTTTTCTAAGCTCTATACTAAACATAAAAAAGAAAAAAGAACTAAACAAAATGAACACAAAACGATCAGCTTTAAAGAAGGACTCATAACTGGAAAAACCAAATGAAAAAAGAATGTTAACAACAAATATTTTTTCACACCCAACCCAGTTCTGTGGAATCAGAATCAACGTTGAGTTTAAGCAACCGAATGAGCCAATTGGAGTAAAGTGCCATGCAGATTTAAATTTTTCCCACTTGTGACAAATGCAGCTATCAATTTTTTTTTGCATGCTAGCATGCTAGTTAACATTCGTGCACAGTCAGCTGTTGGCTCTCACGCTGGCCAATAGAATCTTCCTGCCTATTTGTGACAGCCAGCTATAGGCTCTCACTCTGGCCAGTAGAAAACGGCTGCAAACAACATGAAAATTGCCACAGAAGCATGAAAAAAATCGATTATTTCCACTATCGATGGGAGTTGGGAAATGCAAAGTCAATCTTGGCCTTCCTGCTAACTTTGAGCATGTGCATGTAAATTTTGGTGCAAAATCATCAAAAATTGCAGCCGTGCATTTGTTATACACACACACACACACACATTCTGCCTTTTATAGATAGAGATTTAGTGATACAAGTCCTACTAATTAGCCCATAGTTGATGAGGAGAAGAGGTGAAGTCATACCTTTTCCCAAAGGTAGTCGCACATAAGTAAATATAACAAACCCAAATAAAATTGGAACTCTGCTCTCCGATTTCTAATTCCAAGCTGTTATCCATTACACCATCCTCACATTCAAGCTTAGAGAGCCTGTTATTTCCAAGCAGTCACTCATCTAGGTACTGATCAGGTTGAATATTTCTTAACTTCAGTGATCATACGAAAACTGATGACATGGCTGTAAATTTCTGGACGAACATATAGCATTATATTGTGATAATGGTGAAAAATAAACTTCTAATTTTAAATAGATAAAAATTTACTGCATTTTGTTATGTTCTATTATTTGATCTGGTCTAAAATTCATTTTATAGGTTATGAGGGCATACTTAACAATAAACCCTCATAATTTGGAAGGGAAACAATTCTTTTTTTTTTCATTTTGATACGAGTTTAATATTCTATCTGGTTTAAAACATTTTATAGAATATCAACCCCTCTTTATCAATCATCCCTTGTAATTTTGAATAGGAATACATATATTAAATAAATTTAAATTCTCATATATTTGTCTTGAAATTTGCAAGAGTAAACAATTCAAATGTAATTAATAGGATTTGCTCAGTATGATTGCAAGCTCTTATCCCCACCCCCAAAATAAAATCATACAAAACTATTTATCAGGTTCATATTAAGATCAATACCAGTGTTTTAGCAAAATCAGGTAGCATTAAAAAAAAATCTACAAAAAGATTAGACAGCAAAAAAATAAAGACAAAAAAAACTCAACAAAATCAACAAACGACAATAAAAATTTCATAAAATCCACAGATGGCAGTAAAATTTCTATACAACAGCAGATGGCATTAAAAATTGTACAATATCAACAGATGGCATTAAAAAGTCTACAACCTGGCCATTCGTCACGAAAAGAACCTCCAATCAGTTGTGAACTGGGGCAGGAATTCACAGGTTAACTTTAATGCCTCAAAAACAAAACTGCTCTCTATTACTCATCACAGAGAACCATCCCTGCCCCCCATTAGAATGTCTGACTCTCAACTTCTCGAGAGTTCCTCTTTGCAACTACTCAGCCTCACATTGACTGCTGACCGGAGATGGAACAAATACATTGAGTCAATAGCTTCGTCCACCGCAAGGAAAGTTGGCTCCCTGTGCCATGCCAGGAAATTTTTCTCACCTGAGTCGATCCTTCAAATCTACAAATCAACCATTTGCCCTTGCATGGAGTATTGCTGCCATATATGGTCTGGAGCCCCTTCTGTTTGTCTCAAGGTTCTTGATAAAATCCAGAGACAGATATGTAATGTAATTGGCCCTGATCTGGCATCTCCATTTACAGTCACTCTCTCATAGACGTTGCCTCCCTCTGTCTTTTTTACAAATACTTTCATGGTAACTGCTCCGATGAGCTGCTTTATTTCACTGGTTCCCAGACTTCATGAATTTAAGCGTTCTACTACGCTGGCATCTCACTCACACCCTTTCATTGTCGAAACTGTTAAATGTAGCCATCTCTTCTACTCCAATAGCTTCATGTCACGCACCTCTTGCCTGTGAAACTTCCTCCCCTTTTCCTGTTTCCCTGATAGCTATAATCTCCAACTATTCTAATGTAATGTCAATCAACGTCTCCAGATGCCTTGATCTATCCACTATCCTTCTCTTCATCCTTTCCTCTATCACTCCTATTTGCTCTAGCTGCAATTCTCTGTAACCCTTTGCGTGCTAGTGGCTTCCTGCCTTGCTTGGGGTGAAAGATGCTTAAAAAAAAAAAAAAAATCAACAGATGGCATTAAAAATTCTACAAGAACACCAGATGGCAGCAAAAGATCTATGAAGATATGAATCAGCATTAAAAAAAATTATAAAAGATAGTATTAAAAAAATCTACAGAAATCTTAAAGCATAAAGGACCAATGAAATATTTTGATCTTAGCAAATAAAGCCCTAACATGTCTACAAATTGCATCTCACCTGTAAGTTGTGTGTACATTGTTGTAGGTTGCTGGTACCGTTTATCAGCCCATTCTGTCTGAAGATTCTGCAATTTGTGCAGGGTTTCTCCACTTGGCTTTTTACATCTCTCCTAAAAGAGAAACATTAGAACATACAGGATTACTTCAATGACTTTCTCATGCATTCATTGAATATATATATATATATATATATATATATAGCTTATTTTTTGTCTGTATTCTTCACAAAGAATTCCTACAGCCTCATGTATAGGATGAAGTATTTATTCTGTAGAGGATGCAGTGTTCTCCACCTGTGAATTTTGAGGTGCCACTTGATTGAAAGATCCAGGTGTTTCACTATGCAGATTATCAGGAAGAAAATTTCATGACTTAAAACGTAGTTTCAGATTAAACCAAGGAGGAAAACCTGCAAAGGCCAGAAATTAAAAAAAGAATTTTCCTTGATGAAGATTTTAATATGAAAAGCTCTATGCACTTCTTTTACATATCATTTTCATTTAAGATATGGCTCTCCACAACTTCCTGTCTTTTGTGCTTCTAAATAACTCTTGCTGATTTACTACCATTCTTTGTTCTTGTTTTGTTATCGGTTAACTGAAAATTTTCAAGTAGGTAAACTTGCTGTTTTTTCCTTGCTTCGCTTGCCTTTAGTATACCCTGTGTGTGTTAAATTCTACAGGCCTTCTTTCCTCATTAAAGGTCCCAGAAATCTCAACTCACTCTATTTAATTACAAGTATTGGTTTCTTCATAGTTCATATCATATTCTCCTTAAATTTCCTTGTTGCTCACATGTTCCATTCTTGATATTCTTAACATGTGTCAGTAGAACCACATCTCTTTTGTTTCAAGTCTCCTCTTCATCTGTGAGAAGATTGTCCATCATTCACTGGTATATAGGAGATTAGGTATGACATGGCAGTTCAGCACTTAATTCTCCTATTTCTAAGGATAAATTTCCAATCTCTGAATATTTTGTTAAGTTTCTGAAAAGTATCTTTCCCTATTTCTATATGACTCTGGATTTCTGTGTCACACTTTGCATTGTCATTACCCAGTTAAATTTCTGTACCAGACTGATTCTGATGTCCCCAATATGTAAGTAACATCTTGGACTGTCTCTTTTGCTGCCAACCATGTATTCTGTCCTCTTATGCTTAATGGTTAATAGTCCTTTCTTCTTACTTTTTTGGGATTACGGTCATATCACATTGAAACACAGGTTCCTATATGATCACCAAAGTTAAGCAATGTCAAGCCTGGTCAGTACCTAGATGGGTGACTGCTTGGGAACACCAAGTATTGTAAGCTTGGATGTGCAGGTGGTGTAATGGATAATGACTTGGAATTGTTAATCAGAGTGTCAAGTTCCAATTGGATTTGTTATATTCACTTAGGTGCAAGGTATGAATTCACCTCTTCTCCCCACCAGATATGGGTTAATTAGTAAAAATTGTATCACTAAATCATTATTATTTATAAAAAAAAATATTACAATCTAAAAATATTTTCTGGCTTTAAATAACCAGCAAAAGATTGATAAGCCATAAAAAATGAAGGAATCAATCAATTCTTGCTTTCATTTTTGCATTGTTTAATAGTTCTTGGGGGACTGAATAAAGTGTTTGCTTCAACATTCTGAAAAGGTTACCATGTACAATAATAGTTTCATGAAGAAGGCCAGAGTGTACAAAGGTTGAAATATTTTGAGTATAACAATCAAGATGAAGATACTAGTCAAAATGGAAAAGTTTTATTATTTTGTTTTTATACTGAACATTGTTTTGACTTTTATTTATATTTCTTAACTCTTACAATACATGACATAAGCTGGAAGGATTTTAAGAGCCAAATCAAACCAAAAAATGGAGTATTGCTAGAGCTTCTCCATCCTCACTTGTCTGACTTAATAGAGTTCAAAAGTGTCTACACGCTGCCTTGAGGTTAATGAATTATTTTCCAACTTACAACCACTTTCCCATGCACAAAACGTTGCAAGCCTCTTGCTGCTCTATCGTTACCTTAGTCCCACCAGCTATGACCTTTAGAACTGGGACTTGCTATGTACACAAGCAGAAATCATTTCCTTCATATTCTAATGGTAAGAAGTTCCATTTGAACAGTTTATTCTGAAGAACTGCTGCTGTGTGGAACAGATTCCTAACAGTACGTTTTCCCAATTGCTACAATCTTGACCTCTTTAAGTATAAGGGTAACTGGTATCTTTCCTAAACCCATGTTATGATGTTGATTTGGGGTTAGTAAAGACAAACGCCAAATAACACATAACAATAAAAAGGGGTTTATTAGGTTGGTAAGAAGGTACAGAAATCGCCTGAGTAGTCTATAACTAGCTCAGCCAAGAACTTCTCCGTCTCTGTCTTTTGACATGCCACTATTTAAAGTCTTTGTTTGTAGACAAGTTCATCTTCAAGAGGGGGTGGTAGGTTTCCTACACAACAATCCATGAACTTCATTTCTCATCCTTTCTTATGCTAATACAGCACCATACAGTAAGCCTCTACCCAGAGTCAGCCCTAGGGTTGCTGGCACTCTGAACTTTGGCACACTTAAAAGTATAATTTTTTAAAATTTTCACAAGAAGAAAAACTGAAAATGTAGAGTTTATTACAATAAGAAAAACATTCATTACCTTATCTAAAACATTTCTTTTCTAGCTTTTAGATTTGTAAATCTGTTCCGGGCAATTTCTACATCTATCTTCTATTGACAAAATGACCAAAGAATTTAATCTGTCTTGAGTCATGGATGACCACAATTATATTTTTAAAAGCTTTAGTTTACTAAAGCTTCTTGCTTTGGTGGCCACAGTAATGGGTATAAGCATTATTCTCAATGCAACTCAGAAATTTGGTATGACATCCTGTAAGTTATTAGTGCTTATGAACCTAAGAACATCTATTTACATTATCCAGACTATCGTCCTCATCTTTGTTGCCATATTTATTACAATGTTTCAGCCTTTCAGTATCTGTTTATATTTCTAAGATGAGGTATTATGTACACTATTTACATTATTCAGACTATTGTCCTCATCTTTGTCGCCATATTTATTACAACGTTTCGGTCGTTGTACACTCCGGCCTTCTTCAGGTGGTTGGAATGTCAAATTGAACCCTTTATTTTGCTCACTGGGGTAGACTGTTCTAGTTCCATGTGCCATATTTGATGGATGTCAGTTATCAGTTATCTCCTGTTAATTTCCCTCTGAAAGTTCTCCACTGCCTTTCAGAGGGAAATTAACAGGAGATAACTGATAACTGACATCCATTAAAACATGGCACGGGGAACTAGAACAATCTACCCCAGTGAGTGAAATAAAAGGTTCAGTTCGTCATTCCAACCACTTGAAGAAGGCCGGAGCATACAACGGCCGAAATGTTGTAATAAATATGGCAACAAAGATGAGGACAAGAGTCCGAATAATGTAAATAATGTACATAACACCTCTTCTCAGAAATATAGACAGATACTAAGAACATTTATTGGAAGCTTTACATTTTCAGGAAATAATTGTTTTACAATTCAGTCAAGAAATCATCCATTAATATGCAGAATACAAATAGATCGCATTAGTAAATATTTTATATAATCAAAGGTCACTAAAACATCATAAATCGTGCCAAATAAACTTAGCAGATATGGAAAGTCTTATAGACAAAATGATCATTATGCCCGTGTCATCCACTCATTAATTTTTCCGTTATGGTGTATGATCACCACATCAGAACAGAAAAGATTTAATAATCAAATTCTCAATAAATTTTACTCTATTCAAGAAATTTAATATTTTTTTTTTTTTTAATTTATTTCATTTTATTTATTATTTTCATATTTTTTTCCTTTTTGTTTGGAAGATGCCAAAACACATGAAATGGCGGCATGATGGCATCCCTGCCCTTCATGGCACTCTGGGAAACTGCCAGAGTTGTCAGTACCTTGAGCTGACCCTGCTTCTACCTTCTGTGGTTCTTGTACCTTTTATTAAGTGGACATTATTATTAAAAACAAGACAAAAAAAACAAAAAATGAAACTAGGTTTAAAATTATTTGTTGTCATTATTTTGGTCAGGATTATGATAATATGATTCAGTTCATTGCTACGGACCAATTTCTAGATTTTAAATTTGGAAAATAAAATAGAAAAATATAAGTGAATAATAAATACCTGGTCCAAAGCTGCAACATTTAGTGCTTCTGTCCGATACTGATTTCCTTGGGGTAAGCAATCTGTTTTGTATTCTTCAGCCTTTTTCTGTGCAGGAAATGAAATTTCAGTAATAGAAAGAGAAAAACGCTTATGCAATATTTATAAGACAACAAAAAAAAGATTTGAGGATTTATTCAACTTGAAAACTTCAGCTTGAAATATTGTTTCAAGTATCATAAATATACATACACACACACAGTATATATACTATTTGTATATTCCTTTCCTATGTATAAAGTGTTCAATTTTAAATACTTTTTAAATGAGCTTTTTAATACATGTAAAACAACATATTTATTTAGTTACCCATTTACAGCCTGTTTCATGGATAGGAATTTGTAAAAATGGGTGTTTGTATTATCTTGGATTTCATATTTTTAAAGAGGAATGCAGCTTTGTGTCTGTGTGTATATATATATATATATATATATATATATATATATATATATATTTGGTTGGATTGATGTGAGTTTGTGACCCTGGGTTTCACGCTTTTTGCAATTGTCAGACAAACTGATTAATTTTTTTAAAATTTTGGTTTTATGTAGAGTGCTTTCTTTTTAAAAATTTGGGTTTATGTAGAGCGCTTTCTAATAAGTACATGCATATAATATATAAATAAATATATATATATATATATATATATATATATATATATACACACACACATATATATATATATATATATATGTATTTATATATTATTTTTATTGTAAGAGATTATAATAAAAACATTTTTAAATCACTACACAAAAGCTTCCATGTTTCAATAGTTGGATGTGTACTTCTTCAGGTGATAGTAAGTTGGAAATGCTGCTTGTGCACTATGTTGAAGAGATTAATGTGGCTGCGTGTTGAAGAGCATTTAACATTTATACATTATTGAATCAAGGAAAAACAATGAGAAAACGATTTTCGTTTCAACGATAAAATATATATTAAAATCAACAAATACAAAACAATTTTGTAATGTGTGAATATTAAGGAAAAGAAAGTAGTTTCCTTCTGTTAGCTTGAATAAGATAAAATGCAATTAAGAATGTTTCTTGAATAGAATGTTCAAAGTTGTGTTGAAATAGAATGTTGCATTCAGAAAAGCATACAGTTAATTTAGTTGTGTGTTAGTTGTATAACTAACAGAGTGTTGGTTTGTAACTTGGCTTGTTCACAGAAAACGAATAGTGAAATGTAATTCAGTTTCTGTGTCTGTGTGTGCATAGTGAGTAGAATCAATAATCTGTGTAGACGTGTTTGAGTTGCTGGATTCTACTGTCTATTTTTGGAACAAAATACTGTTTATATAACTATTGGTAGGCTCCAGGAAACAACGCGGGAAAGTTGAACGAACATAAAAAATATATGATTGGATAAAAAATTAACCAATCAGTGACTTTCTTATAAAAGCATGTTTGCGAAATTCATGGCAGGAAAAATTCAGTGTGGTGACTGCGATTAGTAAATTGTCCTGTGGTAAACAGTATTTATTATTTAACCAATCACAGATGAGAAAACTGTAGGCGTGGCAAACATAGTAGTTACTACAAAATAATTGGTGATTAAATGATTTTTAAGGAAATTTAAAAACAAATTGTTTCCTCTTTTCTGAAAGTTAAAGGTGGAGAACATAAGTTCAGAATTGAAATTAGACTTGTGGGTATGTCTTGATTAACCAATTAAATGTCAGATCTATGCTAAAAAAAAAAAAAAAATATGCTCAGAGGTAGGGGGTGGGTAAGATATTTTTCAGGTCATGATAAGCTCTAACATACGCCATCGCTAGAAATTGCGGAAAATATGTCAGTGACAAATGTATCTAGATTGTAGACAAATATGACATGTTCAATTTTTTGAAAGGGTGTTGAAGACAGAAATAGGTTAATCAGATGTAAAGTTAACAGAAAAAAAATTTTTTTTTAATTTTTTAATAATATTCAAGAAGCTTCTTAATGGGGCCAGTAAATAAAATTAAAAATGTGGAACATCTATATAAGATATTAATAATACTAACTGGATGGCAATACACAGTAAAATTAAAGCTGAATAAACAAAGCCGTAGAGGGGGGGGCAATCATTATATACTCATAAATTATTGCTATAAGAAATGGTAATATGTAATTTTTAAAAATTTAACTATATTTTAAGGTAAAAGATAAACTGTGTTGGCAATTTATCGAAAAGAAAAGTAAGAGTGATTTGTTCTGCTATCACCCTCTTGCACACACAAGCACAAATATGGCCACCATCTTGATATAGGCTAGTAATACAATTATTTAGGAGGCAATTTGGGCCACAAATAAAATTTTCTCTTGCCAAAGTTCATTTTATTCTCACTAACCTGACAGATGAAGATGTTTTTCTTGGTGAATAGGCCAGAGAGTTGCATGGAATTCTGCAAGACAAATGTTCCTAACCGTTCTGGGATACTCATCAGAGGAAAACTCTCTCCAGTCACCAAACTCCAAATTCTGGAATCAAAGACCAATAATTAGACACTTGGAATACAGAATGAATAAATACAATATTTACAAAGAGCTTTCTTAATCAATAACTTGTCGGAAAATGAAATACAATCAATAAAGAATAAAATATGAATAAATAAAATTTCCCATGATATAAGTAATAAAGGAATTGGAAAGAGTTTTTGATCAGCTGCATGATTTTATGACTCCACTTCTGTAAAAGGCAGAATCTTTCATGCATTGCAGCCCCATTCATAAAAGTAGTAATTTGGTTGTTCTAACTCGGTGCAAAGCTGACAAGCACGACCATTTTAACCATTTTTATGCTTATTTACTCTAATTTACTTTAAAACAAAAAAACAGACATACACAAGAGACATTGAGAACTTTGTTTCACTACAGTCACCATAAAAAGAATAAACAGTCCATAGTAGAAATTTGTGTATGCTTCTTGTTTATCATATGGGAAAATGCACATGCCTAAAATACATGCAAACACACAAACTTTTACATTTCATAAACTGAAATTCATCTTAAAGAAGATAAATACACAGATTACACACACACACATATATATTATTTACATTATTCGGACTATTGTCCTCATCCTTCTCGCCATATTTATTACAATGTTTCGGCCATTGTACACTCTGGCCTTCTTCAGGTGGTTGGAATGTCAAACTGAACCATTTATTTCGCTCACTGGGGTAGACTGTTCTAGTTCCACGTGCCATGTTTAATGGATGTCAGTTATCAGTTATCTCCTGTTAATTTCCCTCTGAAAGTTCACCACTGCCTTAACCGGGTATTGAACTCACACTCTTTGGATCCTGTCACTAGATCTAACCAACACCTTTATTCACTGTGCCATGTGTCCAACCACCTGAAGAAGGCTGGAGCGTACAATGGCCAAAACATTGTAATAAATATGGCGACAAAGATGAGGACCATAGTCCGAATAATGTAAATAATGTACATAATACCTCATCTCAGAAATATAGACAGATATATATATATATATATATATATATATATATGAAATGGGATCAAATATGGATCAGAATGAAAGGATAAAGAACAAATAGGAAATTTTTATCAATTTAACATGTTTCACTTTTATTAAAGATTCATTGGAGAATATACAAAAAAAGAAAGAAATTCTGGTATTTTTAATTTTGTGCTGTTTGATTTTCATTGGTTAATCAGATTTCACATGCATTTGACTTGTTAAACAATTAGTATAATTTATGGTGTTCTGAATTTAAGGAAAGCTGGTGCATACTTTTGAAGCTCAAAGAAATTAGCAGATTCCAAGCCTAACTGAAAAAATATAAATATTGCTTTGTGTATATAAGTGTACCATAATTCTAGTTTATCTATGTGGGATTCAGTTGATAATGTGTGTGTGTGTGTATGCCTAGCAGTCATTATGTTTGGTAGTTCTTTGTATGTTGATTTGTGAACGTTTTTACATAAATGCTCTTTTAGATAAACATACATTTGATTCTTTAACAGTGGATATAATAAAGGTTGGTGATGCTATATAAAATTTTTTAACGTGTGTTTATATTGGTAATATAGTTATTAGTAAAGTAATTTCATTGTAAAGAATTACGTTCATTTTTAATTAGGGTGGCACTTGTAAAATGCCAGAATGTTTAAATAATAAAATCTTATTCTTCCCAAGCTGGCATTTCTCGTGACTAAAAAAAATATAATTATTTATTCGAAAATTATAACATAAATATGTTATAAAATCACTACAAAAATAGCCACTTGATTATCATTTGATAAGACACCAGAGGTGTTGAAACAAAATGGCTATTTTTGTAGTGATTTTATAACATAATTATGTTATAATTTTCGAATAAATAATTATATTCACTCTACTCTGTATTGAGCACTCTTTTAAGAATAGTAATTGTTGGTTATTAGAATTTATTCCATATACACCAATCATATACTTTGGTATATAATAAAAAATATACATAATACACTACATTGATCATACAACTCAGAGTTTCATATTGCCTGCAATCATCAGGTGCGAATTTTGGGTTATCACTGTTTAACATTTCTGGTTCTCCTGAGATATTTTATTGTTACGGTGGATAATTATTGTTGTTAAAATATTTAAATGAATTTGTAGTTTAATTTGGGATTTGAATTTAGGCCCAAATTAACATTTAAGATTGAAAATAAGAATTATAAAGTTTAATTTAAAATCGGATGCTGTTGATATTAAAAAAAAAGTTTGGAAAATCAAGGGGGATAACTTTACATGAATTAAACCTTTTCAAATTTGTCAATCTGTTTGATTTGTGTGTCAGTTAGAAATTTATATGACAAGAGAGAATTAAAATAAAGAAGAGAAGAGGACCCTACCGAGCTTCATTTGCTGACGTAGCCATGAGGTATGTATAAGAAAGTAGCCACTTGGCTTTGGGGTCAACTCCCCTAAAATTGCAAAGATGCCTGCACTGCATTTCTTTCGTGGCTGTAAATAAATAATGGGAAAAAAAAATCATTTTTTTTGTCCCAAAGAAACAGACAAATACAAACAAAATAAAAGGAAAAAAAAAAATTGATGTGATGAATATGCATACACCTGGGTTCCCCCTCACAGTAATATGATTGGCTGGTGTCAGCCAAAAATACAGACTGGTGTGGAGGTACAGGGATGGTGCCTATTGGCTATGCCTATAGTCTTCGCCTACCAGTACAACGAGGACCAGTCCATTACGGTTACCTGCTAGATTGTCCTACCCGGTTACAGTAGTCCAAAACCACTTTGCTACTTCAAACAAATATATCCCTTTCCGGGACATATCAAAAATCATTTTTTTTGTCCCAAAGAAACAGACAAATACAAACAAAATAAGCTGTATTTATTTTCTTGACGACCAAAATCATTCAGGAATATAGGACTGAGTTAAATGCCTATTCCGCTTCAACTGGTTTCCAGGTTCTTGAATACATACAAACACACAAAAAGTAGAGAGTAAAATTACAAATCGGTATTTTATTGAAAAAAATATGAAGAATAAAACCAGTTCCAAAGTGCATTTTTCAAACTTTCATTGAAGCAAAATGTGCGATGAGTTCCTCAAAGTCTAATTCACGTGCCAATCACACTCGATTGCAAGGGTTGCCAAGTAAGACATGTTAGATTGAGTTTGTTTGTCCCAGCATCTCCTTTTACGACCGGAGTTTTCTGAGCGCTGAACATCAGAAATTCTCTCCCTTCGTAGTGGTTTCTTCTACAAAGGAGAATGCATGTTTGAACCCTTTCAGAGAGCACTGAATGTAAAGGCCAGTAGAAGTAATTTACACTGTTTAAAAATGCATGGTGTCTAATCAGACATGGGTATCCACAAAATATGCATTTATATATATATATATATATATATATATATATATATATATATATATAGGTAGATAACTTCAAAGATTCACTAAAAAGTGACCATACATGATGAAAAAATTCCCCAAACTTAATAAAAACAAAGTTTTATCATTAAAATCATTATGAGGAAAGACTAAAAGATTTTTTGATTATTAAATTATATTTTTTGATACTTTTTAGAATGTTTGAAATTTTGGTTAAAATTTTGTTTTTCTTGCATCGGCAGGGAGAAATACATTAGTATAAGAAATTTTAGTGTCTTCTTGTGGCAAAAAATACATTGATTTTGAAAATTCTTGCAAAAATCAAATAATTGTTGGATTTTAATGAAACTTTCAGAACTTAATCACAAATGAATTAAATTATTTTAGAAATTTTTCCTTTGGAGAAAATCTTGGTAAAAACATTTTTACATGTGTTATCCCTCTACTTAACTTATATGAAATTTTGAGAAAATTCATTTTTGTTTCACTTAATTTTTATGCAGAACTTCTTGAAGAATTTAAATAATCAATATCTTTTTCATACAACAGGATCCCCAGTTAGCGAAAATCTGCTCTGAATCATGAAATAGAAAATGCAATAAAACTAAGACATTATTTAATTAGAAAAATTTTTAATTACTTTTGTAAATAAGATATATTATGGACACTATTGTCTTAAGAAAAAAAATTATTTTCATTCTTTTTAAAATTTTAATTGCAATAATTTATAAAATTTTAAATCTTTTAAATTTCAGTATTAATTTATATTGTTTAGGTGATATTGTTATGAAGTAAAAACTATATTTACTAATCATAAAAGGAAAAGCTTGGTACAATTCCGCAACTCCCAGTATTTTAAAAAGAATTTTAAATTCTTTTTGTGTGTATATATAAACGTGCCAATTTTTGTAAATACAGACGTCCATACATGATATTACAACAAAATAAGAGTGGTAACTATAATAAATTTAAAACTAGACTACCTAAAATTTAATAAGACATTAAATTACAAAGAATATTTTCATCAATATTTAAGATTACTGGCTAGTTAAAAATTATATAAAAAAGGACTCACATTATATTTGTCAAGTAATTTTTACAGATATGTACACCATAGAAAAAGTTAGTTGAAATTCTGGCTGTCAATAAAACTGTCAGGCTGTCAATAAAGCTTTCAACACCTTATAAAAACACTTACATCCATGTTAAAAAATGCATTTCTATGATATTTTAAAGTAAAAGTAATATTAGTTTTAAATCTAATTAATTAAACTTTAAATCAGCTAATATTTCTCAAATAAAGTTTCAGAAAAGTATATTTAATTTTTGATAGATTTTTTAATAAAGAGAAAATACATTATACTGACAGATGGTTAAAATCAGGGAGTTTTAGAGATTTCAAAAGAAAAAAAAAATCTCCTTCCAGTCATTTTAAATTAGTTTTGAAGTCCAGAAAATATTTTACATATTGAAAATATTAAATCTAATTTATTTTCTTGAAATTAAAACTAAAATAAAAGCTTCAAGAAAGATTATTCAATTTTAAAAATTCATTTTAAACCTTAGGTATTGTGTTTCTTTCAAAATACATACATACATATATATATATATACACACACACACACACACACACGGTTTATTTTACATTTCTCATTGGAGGAAAACTGAATGAAAGTGTTCTCAGAGTGAACACTGAAAACACCATAGCCACAGATTCTGACAGATGTCAGAGAAACAGTTGAACTACTCCTCAGTACTTTAAATGATCATTAAAGAAATCTTTGAGATAATAAGCTTTTTAATTAGTGTCATACTTATCAACATCTATTTGGCATTTATGAAAAACCCGGCCACAGACTGAAAATTACAATAAGTTTATTGTTAAATTATAACAAACTAAAGTCAAATTTACCTGCGGTTGGTTCTAGCCAGGTCACAAGTTGTCCCCCTTGATGTATAATATGAAGTTGATTGTTCACTGGATGGAACACCGAGCCTAACACAGCAGGAAACTGAGACATGGTCTGCATTACAGTCGAATAAAAGGAAAAAAAAAAGTATACAAGTTAATAATGGAAAATTTAATTGCATATAACATTTTTAATTGTTGAAGAAGGCCTGATGCTTAAAAATGTTTGAACTCCCTAAAATTAACATTTTAACCATCTATGTCAGTTAAGTGCCATAAGTGATACACGCTAGGGTGTGTCTTTCAATACATGACTGACGAGGCAGATTTTTTCCCTGCAGTAAGTTGCCATTTCTTTCGGCAGTAGACTGCCAACCAAGACTAAAGAACCCAGTCTATCCTGCTGTTCACCCCATAGCTGGGGGAGAAGAGATGGATTCATACCTTTCCCAAGGGTATTGTGCACAAGTGAATGTAATGAACTTGGCTCTTCAAGTTCTCACTCTGAGCCGATATCCATTACACCACAACCCTCTATGAATGATTTTAAAAAATAAAGCAACACATTCTTAAGCAGGCAAGCATTTTGGCCAAATCTGACATTAAAACAAAATTATTCATTCTGCTCGAATGCAATTTCTTTCATTTGATTTGAAGAGTAAAACTATCGTATTTCCATGTGTATAATACGATAAATTTTGATTGAAAAGTAAAGAAAGGGAAGGTATATTATACAGAAGTACATGTTTTCAGACATTTTTACTCAGTTTATAAAAACCCTCTTATTTGAAAAAGAAAAATTTCAAATACACTGAGCACAATAGATAAAACATAAAGTAGGCAGGTGTTGATAACAGTTGTTTACAAAAGGTTTTTTTTATTATACGTCACCAATATTTCTTCTTTGGGAATCAGTGTTAAAATGTTTAAAACTCTTTTGATCACAAGATAAAGTTTGTTTTAATATATTTTGATTTTCTTGTATTTTATAAAGTTTTGGCTCTTCATGCTTCATAATGAAAGACAATATTTTTATTTTTCATTTTCATACAAGGTGGTCCGAAAATCTTGTCACTCCTACATAATAAAATTCTCTATTTCAGATGGCTGACACGAGATCCTACATTTTGGAAGTGAGGCTGCAACCCTAATGTATAGTCAACCTTTGATTGGATTTTCTTGGTGCTAGTATTGCATATTAAGTGAGTATCTTAGTATTTTCTGTAATAATCTCTATCTATAAAAGGCAGGATGTGTATGTGTGTGTGTAACGAATGCATGGCCACAATTTTCAATGGATTTGCACCAAAATTTACATGCACATGCTCCACGTTAGCGGAGAAGGCCAAGACTGACTTTGCATTTCCCAACTCCCACCGATAGTGGAAATAATTGATTTTTTCATGCTTCTACGGCAGCTTTCATGTAGTTTGCACCCATTTTCTACTGGTCAGAGTGAGAGCTTATAGCTGGCTGCCACGAATAGGCAGGAAGATTTTATTGGCCAGCGTGAGAACCAACAGCTGACTGACACGAATGTTAACTAGCACGCTAGCATGCAAAAAAAAAAAAAAAAAAAAAAAAATCGATAACTGCATTCGTCACAAGTGGGAAAAATTTAAATCGCATAGCACTTTACTCTAATTGGCTCATTCGCTTGCTTAATCTCAACATTGATTCTGATTCTGAGCTAGGAATTCCCAAAACTTCACTGTTAATACACATAACAAAGGATCTTGATTTAGTCAATGAAAGTGAATAAACTGAATCCAGTACATGTGCTTTGTATTACTTGTTCTATTATTCTCATTACTTTTTGGTAGCAAGTGACAAGACTTTCGGACCACCCTGTAGTTTAATTAACTCTAAAAAATGACTACTAGATAGTTAGCACCTTTCCATGAAAATAAGCTTTCAAACGGAAATAAGAAGAAACATTAAACACACTGTAGTGCCACGCCTACATTTCTTCAATTTTGATTGGTTGATTAATACATACTAAAAATAATAGGACAATTTATCGATCACATTTCACCATACTGAATTTTTTCCTACATTTTGCTCACAAACAAGTTTTGCTATAAAATCACTGATTGGTTCACTTATTGTCAAATCTAGTATTTTTGTGTACATTCAAAAATATATTCCGTGTTTGTGCTGGGAGCCACCTATAGTAATATAAATATTGGATGCATTCCAAAAACCAGTAGTAGTTCCAGCACCACAGTAGAGTACAGACCAGAGACAATAGATCTCGACTACTCACTCGTGTTATTCATCCTACTCACTCTGCACGTACATACACACAGATACAGAACTTAATTTGATACACCACCAGTTCTCTGTGGAGATACTAAGTTGAATCAACTCTGTTAGTTGCAAACACAACTGAACAATCTTATGAAGAAATATTCTATTTTAACACTGAACTCTGAACTTTATACTCAGACAAATCTTGCTTAAAATATTTCTTAACAGTTAAAGGGAAACTACTTTTTTCTCCCTATTCACACATTATACAACTACCTCGTATTATTGTTGATTTTTTATGTTTATTCGTTGAAACAAATTGGTTCTTCATTGTTTTTCCTTGATATTTTAAATATTATGTATGAATGTTTAATGCTTGTTCAACACGCAGCCACGTTTATCTATTTAACCAAACACCATTTATACATTGGTATCCACCGACGTTTAGATTAGCATACAACATTGGTGACTTCAACACTCAAGAAAGCAGCATTCTACAACACAATGGCTAAAAAAATATTGGGTTCTTTTTTATTAATATCAGTGAAAAATATGTACGATTTTAATGAACATCTTAAAAGAAAAATTACATAGGGATGGTTGTACTACGAGGTCGTATTATACTCAATGATGTAATTTATTCCGTTTTTAAATACAGGGCCATTGAAAACATACGATAAAATAATAGTGACTCTTGGATAGTTCTTGCTAAGTAAGAAGTTGTCTCCCTTGGAGCGTAATTTGAGGTCCAACTGTTTGCATGAAAACTAACGACTATTTTTTAAAGCATGCTATAGAATATTGTTTTCTATTTCTCCAAGGTATTTTCAAATTTTCTTTCTATCACATAAAACTGGCTCTTTTCAGTCCTCTTCCTATTTGCTTTTATTTTTTTTAAATTTCATGTCTCTTCAGGACGTAGGTGATCAAGGCTTATCACAGATTCCGTTTTTGTAAATTATCTGTGAATTGTCATATGACTTCTTGGGAAAGATAATGGAGTGATTTCTCATTGCCTTCTCAAAGGTTTTTGATTTCAGAGTTCCTCTTGTCATAGACTGGTTGCCACCCAAGACTACGGAGCCCAGTCTACATTGTTATCTAACCCAGAGCTGAAGGTTGATGAAATAGATTCATACTTTTCCCATAGGTATTAGCATGAAGTGAACACAACAGACTAGTCTGGAACTTGGCTTACTGATTCCACTTTCTGGGCCAATAACTGTTGCACTAACCACATGTGTATTTCTATACAGTGGCTCGCAACCTTTTTGCAGTTAGCACCCCCACTGTGTACCAAAACTTAACCCTAATGTATAGTCAACCTTTGATAGGATTTTCTTGGGGCTTGTATTGAATATTAAGTGAGTATCTTAGTATTTCTTGTAATAATTATTATATAAAGTGAAGGCACAATGTGCGTGTATGGTGTATGTTACAGATTAGATATATTACTGCCACCCTCTGGTTACCCACTTTTCTCTCTCACCATCCCCAGATCTTTCCACCACACCCTGCAGGTGGTACTGCCCACTTTAGGAATCACTGATTTAATAGAATATATATTTTGACTATGGGTCAATTAAGTCATTGTAATTTGACTTTTTTTATATATATATATATATATATATATATATATATATATATATATATATACACACACATATATATATATATATAAGTTAGGATCAAATATAGATCCAATATGAATCAGAATACAACAGAGTATTAAGATAAAGAAGTAGGAAATGTTTATTAATTTAACATGTTTCACTTTTATTAAAGCTTTGTCAGAAACAAAGATATGCAGAAAATTTATTTCTTTTACTTTTTTTCCATATCTCAGTCTCACATGTATTATATAAGTAACATTGCAATATTTGTTATATATATATATATATATATATATATATATATATAACATCTGTTTAAATGTGTTGAATGCACATGACTGACTAATGAAAATAAAACAATGCAAAAGTAAAAATACCATAATTTCTTACATTTTCTTCATATCTCAGCCGCTGATGAAACTTTAAAAAAGTGAAACGTTAGTTTGATAAACTTTTCCTATTTGTTCTTTATGTTATATAACTTTGTATTTTAAGTTTAATTTTTATTGTTGAATTTGAATTGAAATTTCTGTTTTGAAATATGGGAATTCTGGTACTGTGATGATTATATATTGAAAAAAAAAAAACAATTATAATATATGTACAGCATTTAAGCATGAAACAGACTGTTGCTGATGGGTGTTGACTGCAGTATACACTTTTATATTTATATTTACATGCACTCTATCTCTGCTATTGAGCACTTTAACTCACAAATATAGCATATGTTAGAACTATATTTTTATCATATATAAATTAATTGATTTAAAATATTGTTTTCTTCGCTACACAGTTCTAACCATGTTTCAAAAATGGAAGGTAAAAGCTCTGAATTTAATTTTGTAATTAAATTATAGACATTAGTTCCATTTCATCCTCAAGCAATTTTGGAGTAACTTAAAATTACTGGGTTTTACCAAAAACTACCAAAATCGTAGCAATAACTGATACATTAAAATATAGACACCAGACACCACTTGTCTGGTAAATTGGATTCATCTGTAACCTTGGAAACATGAATTATGATTTTAGCTGTGTCTTTAAAACCCAGTAATTTTAAAAGTTACTCCAAAATTCGCTTGAGGATGAAATGGAACTAATGTCTTTAATTTAATTACAAAATTAAATTCGGAGCTTTTACCTTCCATTTTTGAAACATGGTTAGAACTGTGTAGCGAAGAAAACCATATTTTAAATCAATTAATTTATAATATTAATGCTCTGTAAATTTACATTGAGCACTATTTTGTAAAAATAAAAATATCTATAAGAACACTGGATTATATATCTTACTGTTCTTTCTTTTTATTTATATATATATATATATATATTGTGACTATAGAGCAGTTATATTATTGTTACAATGGATAGCAAGAGCTCAAAGGTTACCATAATTATTTATGCAGAAGTAGGAATGAAAACTGTAACGTCATTCAATATATAAAAGTTTAAAATCAATGTTATGAGAATTAGAGAATAAAAGGAGATGGCCTGTGGAAATGATTCAACAACCTTTCTCAGTTCTTTTTGATATTGCATAAGGAGAGATTTGAAGCTGAGAGGTTCTCCTGATTTGACGAAAACTTGATGCTGCACAAGTTTCTTGCCGAAGATGAGTGTACAAGATTCCTCCATTGGGGTGTAGATGATCCCAAAAGGTGCACTGCCATTCATCCTGAAAGAGAAGAAAAGATTTGGTTTGGTTTGGTTTATGGCATATCAACATCTCAATGGGTCATTTAATGCCGACAACTTTTTTTCCTGGTGATATTTTTGTTTTGTCAAAAATCAATTTCTATTAATATCTTTTTCCTCAAAAATGTATAGCTGGTAATATTATTTTTCCAAAAACATAACTGGTAGTATTATTTTTTTCAAATATGTATAACTGGTAATATTATTTTTTCAAAAACATAGTTGGTAATATTTTTTCAAAAATGTATTGCTGGTAATATTTTTTTTTCTTCAAAAATTTATTTCTGGTAATAATTTTTTACAAAATATTTCTGAACCTATTTTTACACTTTTATAATGCTTTTTACCTCAGTTTCAGGGTTAACTATTTGCCCATAGCTGGGACCCTAATGTGTGCTACCACCCCAGGTCATGGTGTATCTTGGAATACCAGCAATTAAGAGGAGGTTCCATGCTCCTCAAAGCCTCCAGATCAGGGGCCTTGCTGTTGGACATAGTTTATTGGCTTACTCTGGACGTGGATGTAGTTTATCGTCATACCCAGGATGTGGATGAGTTTATCGTCATACCCAGGATGTGGATGGAGTTTATCGTCATACCCAGGACACGGATGTAGTTTATCGTCATACCCAGGATGGAAGAAGAAAAGGTATTTTACTGAGGAATCTTCATAGAATTATGTCTGTGAATCTGATACAAGTTTTGAACAATGTTGCCATCTTTGCATTTTCATCAGTGTCGATGCATTTGTAATCTTCAGAAATTCTTTTATGCATCCAGGATAAGTATTATATAAATTTTTTATTTATACCTGTATGCTCATTTTAGTTGCACACAACATTTCAGCTACTTGTGCAGATGACACACAGTGTTGATAGAAGACACAGAAAGGAAATTACAAGAACTCGTATGGAAGCTAGTGAAGGAAAGCAAGAAGAATGGACTAAAAAGACATAATGCATGGTTGTCAGCAAAAGCAACATGCAAATTACTAATTGAAGATACCAAAAAAAAGAAAAAAAAAAAAACAAGTACAATTTTGCTGTTGGGTAAAATAAGTGACAATGAATCTGAGCCATAACAGAGTTCAAAAGCATTTGTACAAACCTTGTGGATGATGAATTGTGTTCCACCCTACTACCATTTTCCCATAGACAAAAAGTTGCTAGTCCTTTGCTACTCTATCACATAGCAAACTACATTGTTAGTTCCACCAGTTCAGACCTTCACAGTTGAGACCAGCTATGCCACGTAGTTGATTCATCTTCATTCCCTTCATATTCCATTTGTGAGGAAGAGGTTCCACTCAGCTTCTTTCTCATTGCATTAAGGAATGAATGCCTGAGAGGATGCCACCCCACTCCCTATGATCTTAACTTCATCCTACATATCATCATAATATACATATTTGCTCCTACCATGTATGCTCTTACAATCTCATCCAATAACCCTCTACCTTGAGTGCTTTTGGGCCTTATATTAGAGAACAATAGAAAAAAAAAATAAACAAATAAAAATAAAGAGTCTAGATAAGCTTTCTTTTTAATAAATCTTATTTGGATACCATGGAGTAGGCATATAAATAGTACTACATCCTTTGAGAGTAGATTATTTTTTCGGTAAAATACTTACATTTCTTCAGGCACAATCAAGATACTATGTTTGAATGTCAGAAGAGAACATGGTGGACAGTTGCGAAGAATTTCAGTTTGCTCAATGTGTTTTCCCAGAGAATTTATGTCATCACCACAACCTTTAAAAGAAAGTATATATATATATATATATATATATATTAAAACACTTAAGAAATTAAAAGAAATAAAAAAAAATGTGATTATATTGAATAATTAGGCAAAGAAGGCTTGGAGAATTTGACACTTACAGGACATCTTGAAGGCAAGAGAGATGGCGGGAAACAGTAAGTAAGCTACCTAACAAGCTTGTGCAAATAGATAGCAGAACAGGTATAGTCCTGGGTATGATGATAAACTACATCTGGTAGCAAGGCATCAGATTGAGAGATTGGAGGTTTTGAGGAGCGTGGAAGCACCTTTTAATTGCTGTGGTTCCCAGGTTCAACCTGACCCAGGGTGGTAGCACCTGTTAGGGTCTCAGCTATAGGAAAATAGTGAACCTCTAAACAAAAACAAAATGCTATGAAAGTATTTAAAGCAAAATGACCAACAATACATTTTATCCTGTAGTTGAAGCCATAAAATTGTGTTCAAAATATTTAGATTTCAGCATTAAATAACCAATGGAGGTTGATATGCAGCTAAACAAAATCTACCAACCAACAGAACATGGAATTGGAGGGATAATATATAGACAAAGAACTACAAAGGATAGGAAGTTGTGAAGAGTCATGATTGCCAATGTCTACAGCATATAGAAGAAATGTTTAATGTGATCAATGAAATAAATCATTTTACTTCTAAGAGGAAAAGTCTCTACTGCTTTGAAAGTCAGCATTTAAAACCCTTTTAGTGGAACTTGAACACTGCTCTGAAATATGCAAGCATCATTATATATATATATATATATATATATATATATACAATACCAGATCCGTAGGTGGCAGTGATTATTCTAAAGAGGTCTTTTTAATATAAAAATATTAAAAAGTTAACTCCATGATGAGAAGCTCACTGTATAGATTTATATACAGAGCAAAATAAAATAATAAGTAAGGAAACGACTTAATTATTCATTATATATAATCGGTTACAATTTCAGCAGTTATACATAAATATAAAAAATTTTCAAACTATCTGCATCTCTTATTTTGTGCACATGTGTAGACTGTTTCGCTGTATCACGTGTGTGTGTGTGTGTATATATATATATGTGTGTGTGTATGTACTGATTCCTTGTGGTCGGACAGTGTGTATGTGTGTGTACAAATGAGTTTACTAATTCCTCATAGTAAGACAGTATATGTATAGAGGGGAAATATACGCATGCATATATACACGCATGCTGACAGAAACACACAAAAATGGAAACAGATCCAAGAACCCACAGGGGTCAGTAAAACATTAAAAGATAAAATGCCGATAAGTAATTCATCATTTCGCTTGGACCAACCTTAATTGTTTTATGACCCTTCGGGCAGAACTCTTTATTGCCAGTTCAAGAAAGACATTCAGATTACTAACACAAAAACAGAGAATGTCTCATATCAAGAATATTTAACATTAAAAAACATAAGGAAAAAATTAATTATTTTTAATAATATGTGGAAATCTCCACCTTTTACTTGAAGACGATCACGAGACCAGAAACACGTGTAGTAAAATTATGGAAAATAAAGCATAATATTTTTTTCTAAAAAAAAAAAAAAAAAAAAACACATTACAATCAAAAACGTTTGCGGTACTTCTCTTCTCTTGTTTTTATAAACATACTTTTCTCTCATTGGAACCACTACAATCTCTTTCTTTTTTATATATATATATATATATATATATATATATATATACACACACACACACGTGTAGACGTGGCAATGTCAACAAAGCCCAGTCCACAAAAATCCTGATGGATGAAATGCATCACAAAAACTTTTCCAGTTTGTCATACTTTACTAAAATGTTGATATATAAAATTTTATATATATATATATATATATATATATATATATATATATATATATAGATAATATTAGTGGAAAATATACATACATATGCAAAATATATATAAAAATTCCCATACATGTATATTTTCAGAAAAAAAAAAATTTTCCAAGAGGAAGGATCCAGGTAGAACTCAATGTCTAGGACAGAGTAAGGATATAATAAGGATATAATAAAAAGGCATTTAAACACTAATATTCCAAATTCAAAATTTTGAATTTGGAAGGTCTGATGATTTGGATCGATTTACAAATTCCAATGGAATAAATTTTGGAATATTAGTGTTTAAGCTTTTTTATATATATATATATATATATATATATATATATATATATATATATATATATATATACACACACCTGCCTTTATCAGACTGATTACATTTTATTAAATGATATAAAAGAATTCTTCAGTTTAATAACAATAAAAAAAAAAAAGTATCAAAGACAACAACATCAATTTCACTGTAGCTGCACATTTCAACCAACCAGATCATAGCATTGATAATGTTAGGTACATCAGTCTAGCTTTTTTTTTCATTTAAATGCCAACTAGAATGTTGAAAGTTCAAGTTAAAACACACTTTTAAAATAGATTCATGCATTCTAGGATTAAACAGGAATTTTGGCATACTCAAAGAATACATTTTCCACAGAAAGCCATCTACAAACATTATACAACCCTAATCATAGCAGACAACTAGCCCAAAACTATCAGATCTCTTTGGTAATATAACACTTAGGAAAAAAAAATTCCATGAAAAAGAATGTCCCACTCCATTTTTTTTATTTCTTGTTTTGTTGAGAAAGGACACATGTGTCTGAAATTTATCATTTTTAAAATGTTTTTCATCATGCTTCCATTTAGTCAAAAGGCCTACTAAAATATAAGAAATATTATTAGTTTTAATATCAATATTATTATTTTTGTTGTTTTTTTATCTCTTGAATTTTTCACCTGCCTATTATATATATATATATATATATATATATATACACACACACAAAATACATTAAAAACTATTGACATGATACTGCAGTTACTTTCCTTGTTGGCTGCCAGGTCATGTAATTTAATGGTTGGCAGCAATCTCTCTTGTTAAAAATCTTGTCACTCATTTTTAATTAAACTTGTATAAAAGAGGAATTGCTGCCTAAATGCACAATTTTATATATATATATATATATATATATATATATATAATTAAGTTATGAAGAACTTGGTAGACCGAATGGGTAATTCCAAGGAGGATGAAATCCTGAGAGCTCAATGTGAATACAGAGCTAATATTTAATGAAAAACAGATCACTTTAAGGTACCATTACATTAATGGTACTGATGATCCGGAGTGCTTTAAAAAGGATTTTGGTGAAATAAATTATTGTAATGGTACCTTAAAGTGGTCTGTTTTTCATTATATATATATATATATATATATATAAAAATGACTGACTGACAAAGTTTTTAGCAAAAGGATTACTGTCCAAATAGGTAACTATCCAGTAAGCCACCTGATGAGACCATAAGATCGAAACCCAGGTTGGAAAGGTACTGTTTGATATATATATATATATATATATATATATATATATATATATATATATATATTATGAAATGGACCAAGTCCAACAATTATTTTAATATATTTATTGTTTATATGTTATTTTTATAAATACAAATATTTAAGTAAATGCTCTGTTTATAATAAACAATATTAACAACATTTACCTGTCTGAATGTCCGAGAAATTTCATAGAAAATATGTGTCCTCCAACAGAAATCGAACCTGTATCTTATACGGAACTGTCATATAGCCTGATGTGCTATACCATTTAGCTACTGAGGAAGTGTCTGCTTTGCAAAGTCAAATGACTGCTTTTAAACTACAAATTTCCCATCACATTCAGACTGGTAAATGTTGTTAATACTGTTTATTATAAACAGAGAATTTACTTAAATATTTGTATCTATAAAAATATAGTATAAACAAAAAATATATTAAAATAATTTTTGGACTTAATCCATTTCATAATATATGATGTCATTTATTTATGTTAAGATGTGCTTCGAGCAGATATGAGCATTCGAGAAAAATTATGGAAAATTTGTTGCTTAAAATTTTATCTTCTTATATGTACCTATATTTTAATTAAAAAGTATGCAAAATAGA